TTAATGCCTGCCACCGGCTCAGATACAATCAGATTCCCCCTTGAGATCAATGAAACAAGGTGGTAGACACACTATCACTGTCTGTCCACAGGGGGCGCCAGAATCAACCCAAAATGACAATGCAGAATATAATGAAGTTGACTATTCTCAGCACTCAAGCATCAGAGAGTGAAGTTCCAGACAGATTGAATCAACAGTGAGTCTTTTAACACATTTTAGCAGAATTAAAGTCAGATCAAATTAAATAAAATGTGTTTAGGCACCCACAGAGAAGAGTGAGGGTTCTCATTCAAAAAGCAAAAATGTAATTGTTTCAGTTTTTAATTAAAATAATTGTTTGGATTATTTCTGTGTTGAGCTGTCCATGATGCGGAAATGTATATAATCAGGGTGTGAACTACAGGGGGGCCAAAGGGGGAGCTAGGCTCCTCTTAATAGCACCTGAGAATCAGGATTTCTGATATTTTGGAGGGGTCTCTAAACTACTGACAATATACTATTTTTGCTTGGCATTTCTATTTTTCTCTTTCTTCAACATCATTGATTAGATATAAATTTAGGCTACTATTGATGTATGATTTGTGCACTTTAATAAAGATCACCTTTGAAGTCGGCTGCACAATATCATTAACTTCTGATCAGTAAAATATCTATATCTATATATATATATATATATATATATCACATACATAGAGATACCAGCACCAGTTTTAGAAACGGTAGCTGATGCTGCTCACTCACTTTGGCGTTAACGTGGTTGGTCCATCCTGCCGTCTGGAGTCCTGAGACTCTCTGAACTCATGCAGCCTCACAGCAACACCAGATCCTGCCATCACTGACGAGGCAAGGTGACATCAAGACCAGGTCCAGACTGAGACCACGGCAGCTCCAGTACCCTGAGAAGGTTTCCTATATATGAACACAGACCTAGAGCCATCTGCAGGAGCTCTGGACTAAACCTTTAATGTATTCCTGATCAATGCAGTGGCAGGTTTTCACTCATTACATTGTTCTCTGTAAATCCATCAACCTTGTGACCTTTGCTAACGCCACGGACACACGTCTATATATAAAAAGAGCTCATTTTAAGGTGATGAAAACATAATGAAAACATACCTGTGAATATTTTATCACATTTCTGCCAATAGATCCCCCTAAATGTTACACATTGGACCCTTTAAGTGAGAGTATAACCAGGAAAATGTGCTTAAAGTACTAAAAGTAAATGTACTAAATACAGAAAAATGTCCACTGTTGTGCTATTATATATATATATATATATACTATATTATTATAGTCATTGCTTTGTATGCAGAAATCTTAATTTGTTAAGTAAGTAGTAACAAAAGAAAAAGTCAAATTAATATAGTGGAGTGAAAATATTTCCCTAAAAAGTGCCTCAAATATGTATTTAAGTACAGTACTTGAGTAAAGTAGTTACAACTCATGATGCTTTACGATTAAATGATCAGTATGTAGTTTGTTTGTTGTCCCACTCATTCATATTCTGGTGTTTAATAATGTTGGCCACTAGAGGCTGCTAGTGAGAAGTCATGTTGTGTTTGACATGCAGGATCATTTTTAAATTAAAGTAGCTCCAAATAAACTCAAAACAAGCTTAAAAACTGTGATGAGTTCAAGTCCAAAAGATCCGTCTGCAGACTCCAGTACAGCAGACTGAACAGTCACACAACCTGTAGTACAAACGTAAACAACAGCTTTGTGTTTTTGCCTTCTGCTGCTACATAAAATGTCAAATAACGTAGAGAAGTCACAGCACAGAGGGAAGATATTAGACACTGGAGGAAACACTGACTTTAAAAACACCACACACATTTAAAATTCAGCAAAAACTTGACCAAACTTCTCTTTCAGTGATCTGTGATAATAATGAGCTTTTATTTTGAAAAAGAGTTATTTTTGTTAAAAGAAGGACCAGCAGCACTCTTACCTGAGAGAAAGAGACGTCCTCCCTAACTGACCTGGTGTCAGTCAGCCTCTTATTCAACCTGAGAGACTTGGATCAGTTGGCTGCACTCGGACCTGCTCCTCTTCATCTCCCACAGCAGCGTCTCTTCCTCTGCCGCTCTTCTACATCAGTGCATCAGCTCTTCTCTTCAGATCCAGAACAGAGAAACCTAACACTCCGACAACAGAGCAAACTGACACCGGTAACCATGATCTCTCTCTCTCTCTCTCACACACACACACACACACACACACACACACACACACACACACACACAGTGTAAGTAAAAATGGGGATTATTTGTTTCTGTTTCCATTGTCTTTTCTAAGGTTACATTGTTCGACACCTGCATCAATATATTCTGATTGATATTTATTTTTTTATTAACATATTTGGTGTCGAGGTAATCCAAAAGTAATGGATAGTAATCAAGTTACATTACGTTTATATTATACTGACTGATTTATTAAACAGATGCATGATATGGATTATTTTTTCTACGGATAACTGATCATTACCTGCTTCTCATGGCCGATACAGATAAGATAACCAATAATTTTTATATTATACATATGTTAATAACCTCTATTTTATCCAGGAACACTAAGATTGATGATTTGATAGTTCTGTTTAAACCAAATATAACTATTAACACAACATAAACAACAGTTCTGACTCTTTAAATTTTATTTAATTCAACTATAGTTCATCAAAAAACCTTCACACAAACATATTTTGGCTTTTATAGGACATAAAGCCACAAATTAAATTACTATTTCTATGAACTGATAATTTATGCACTTTAATTTAATTATCAGCATAATTTATAGGATTAGGTATACATACACACAAACTAAACACAACATACACATGTATACAAATACCTTTTCCTCTAGCGCCACCCTCAGGTTAAACGTCACAGATGAAACTGTATGATTACATTTTACAGAATGATGTCTATTGTGTCCACATGTTGTTTTTTATATGAACATATTGAACAAATAGGACCGTAAACTCTGGTGTCAGGCTTTAATACATTTCACCCACTGTAGGAAATGTGTCTCTTCAACAGTGGAGAAACATCAATACACTTTTTATTATAGTCTTTGTCAGGATAAAGATGTTTTTAAAGTGTTTATTTTGTCTGACAACACATAAAAACCTGAATTAAAAGATATAAAACAAAAACCAATTAATAACTCTTTAGCATCTAAGTGATTGATCAACAATGAAACTGATATTAATTGATTAATCACATGTTTGTCCTTTCTTTTGTTGTTGTTTTGTCATTTTATTTGTTGTGTGTGGGGGGGCCAATATTTGTCCTGTGTTGACAGTAAGCAGACACCCTTGAACAATATCCACAAACTGTCTCGTTTTATAACCGGAGACTGAAGTGTTGTTCTTACAGACTGTAATTGATTAATGCAAAGCAGTAGCAGCGGTCCCCGTCTACGTAGGCCTGCAGCCAGACTGGGACCAGGATCCTCAAACAAAGCATCCATTCACAGAAAGGCTGGGGAGGGAGGGAGGGACGGAGAGGGGAGGGGAGGGAAGGGGTGGGGGGGGGAAGTTGGTGGAGGTTTTGCTATACATTTTGGTAAGCTTGAGTAAATTAATAACAGTATAAAAAAGTATGGAAATGATTATTGCCAGCGTGGAAAATATACCACATGGTCGGTTTGAGAGTTTTTTCTCTCTCCAGTGGATGAATAAGAAGAGCTGATCTATCTGCTGTGGATCAGAGGGAAGTGAATTATAACTGAACTGAATGTGGACACATAAATCCAGCACAGAGAGGGAGAGAGGGAGAGAGAGAGAGAGAGAGAGAGAGAGAGAGACAACAAAAGCTGGGGACCAACAAAAGCCCTGGATGCCATGAGGAGAGAGATGCTGCATTCACGTACTCCCCGTAAAGTCCCACGTCCCAGAACAGGGGGAGCGTGACAGACTCAGACGTGGTGAGAGAGACACACAGTAAATCTTTACGTGACATAATTTGTTTCCCCTCGACACACACATGTGATCAGAAATGTAGTTTCTTAAATGATTTGTTTATTTACAGATATGTTAACTCAACTCACGATTTGATACAGTTCACAATACTGCGTTCACGGTAGGATTTTCTCATAGTTTATTATTATTTAACACAAATAACAAAAACAATATATATTATATAATATATTTTTTTATTTCTGAGGGCAAAGAGACAACAAAAGTAATGTAACTAGTTATTTTTTAGGGGGGTAACTGTAATAATATTACAGAAAGGTATTAACTATTAGTTACACTGGAGAAAGTAATATTATTACTGTAATATTACTCTTACTCTTGCAGAGTCTCATGGATCCTGGTTATTATTATTGTTATTATTGTTCATAATTCACCGTTATGGCTGTTATCATTGTCATCACTATCATTATAAGATAAGATATAAGATAAGATAGACTTTATTGATCCCACACTGGGGAAATTCACTTGCTACAGCAGCTAACAAATAAGAAAATATACATTAAATACAAAAAAATAGGAAAAATACAAGATAAAATCAAATAAAATAGATATGTACAGCTTTTTATATACAGACGTGAATGAATGAATTAAATGAATAAAATAAATAAGAAATTAAATTCTATTCTATATATTGAATATACTTTTTTATATTCTAAATTTCTATGATTTTATTTCACAATATTTGTTATTTTATTGTATTTTTTTCATACATTTTCTGCTCTTTGCACTACATTTCCCCCCTGTGCTACTGTGCCAAATTCCTCCTACTGGGGATCAATAATCTTATTTAATCTTATCACATAGAGCTATAAATATACAATACAAATCTAATATCTATTAATAATAAATAAATACACAAAAAGTGACATATTTCTACTATTATAGTCACTGAGCCTTTAAAAAAAAAAAAAAAAAAAGAAGTAATTTTCCCCATCTGGCTTGGATACAGTGGCAACATGAGCGTCCAGAGTTTTCCGACGGTCCGTGAACGCAGCAGGAGTCCTCCCAGTCAGATCTGGCTGAACGTGACGCGCTGACTCGGAGCGGAGCGAGGTTTCCTGGCGGAGCTGCGGAGGGAGCAGTAGCCTGTCTGTCCGTGTGTCTGTCTGCCTGCCTGCCCGCCGCAGTCTCCTGTCTGTCTGGGGGACACAGAGAGAGAGAGAGAGAGGGGGAGAGAGAGGGAGAGAGAAAAAACCCTCCTCTTTTCAGGCTTCCACGGTCCGGACACGGCATCAGCGGCTATGGATGCATCGCTGTCCTCCTCCCGCTTTCACCGCTAAGGGGACGTTACTCCGTCGGATGCTCCAGCGCCCATAGAGGAGGGAGGAGGAGGAGGAGGAAGGGAGGAAGGAAGGGAGGACGGGAGGAAAGGAAGGAAGGAAAAAAAAAGGGGGAGGGGGGGCATCCCTATCATTCTTCGACTACCAGGTGAAATTATTATTGTAATATGGCAATAACGTGTGGGGGGGGGGGAGGGGGAGGCAGGCTGTGTGTGTGTGTGTGTGTGTGTGTGTGTGTGTGTAGGGGAGGGGGAGGGAGGGGGGGGGTCGTTTGTCTCGAGCCCGGAGCGGGTGGGAGCGGAGGTTAGCATGCTAGCCGGCTAACGGGCAAGCTAACCAACCGCCGTTAGCGGGCTGCTGCTGCTTCGTCATCCGCCCGTCTGAGAGGAGGAGGCGGCGGGGAGAGGAGGAGGGAGGGAGGGAGGGAGGGTAACGGTACCGTCTGGCCTCGGCCCATCTCCGTGATGAACGACACCCCCCCCCCTCTCTCTCTCCCTCTCTCACCCTCCCTCCCTCCCTCCTAGCTGCCAGGCATCCAGCTAGGCTCGCCGGCTAACATTAGCAGTAGCATCAACCCCCCCCCCCCTCTTCCTCCTCCTCTTCCTCCTCCTCCTCCTCTTCCTCCTCTTCCCCGTTAGCATCCCTGGCTAGTTCGCATCCTCCAGCCGAGCCCATCACAAGGCCAGCCGGGTTTACTCCCCCCCTCCTCCTCCTCCCCCCTCCTCCCCCTCTCTCACCGGGCGCCGGCTGTTTTACCGCCACTCCTCGGTACCAGAGTCCGAGCCGGACGCTTGGTTCTCCGGGTACAGCGGAGCCCGGGTACCGGAGCCCGGGTACCGGAGCCCGCCGAGCGGATGTTGTTATGTAACCGATAATGACTCCACACGCCCTTGAAACAAAAGCTGTTGTTTCAGTATTTGTTTTGTTTGTGTGCGGCGCAGACCCCCAATCACTCCCCAATAAATCAGAGCCGTGGTGGGTGAGAGGAGGAGAGGGGAGGAGAGGGGAGGGGGGGAGGAGAGAGGGGGTGTTTGTGGTACCGAGTTCCGCAGCTCTGAACCGGCTCCTGAAAGATACAACGGCTGCTCCTGTCAGCCATTGTTTTTGTTGTCATTGGAGGGCTCACATTTGTTTTCCAGGCTCGTGTCTCCCCCACTGATGGTGCGTGCATTAAAAAGCAATACGATCCGCATCTGGACACAGAGGTTTACATTTAATATATATAGACTGTGATACTGTAAACAAGACGATGTGTTGTGGTTTTTTAAAAAAAAATAAATAAAAACCGTTATGGTTGTTAGGTATAAACTAGGGTTCCCACGTAGCCTGGAAAACCTGGAAAACCTGTTAAATTAGAAATGGAAATGACCAAATATCCTGGAAATAATCTATATTGTCCTTTTTTTTAAATTGTAATTGCATTTTAAGCCCCTCACTAAGTAAACCTGGGCGCGTTCCTTGTATGAAACTGGAGTTGCAGCAGTGTGTGTTTTTTAGATGTTCGAGTTGAGGATGTTATGGTTGCAGGAAAACTGTAGTAAACTGTGGAATAATCTGCAGAGAACAGCCCAGAGCGCCGTGACAGCGAGCTAAAGAGGATTGTCCTTTTTTTAAAAACGCTGACCAACCTACCTTTTTAATGAACCCGAGAACGCTGAAGTCCTGTCCTGTAATGTCAAGAAAACTCCTGGAAAATTATTCCTTAGAAAAAAGAGTGGAGCCATTTACTGAACAGCCGCTGTAACATCTAAACATCAAAGTTTACAACACAGTTAAATCATCGTCCCTTGTTTTCCATGCAAGCGAACGTGTTTCTTTAGTACTACAGACGGTCACATCATCAGGATTTAAGTAGTTTTTCAGTAGAAATAAAAAATTGTGATGCAACAACTAATTGTTAATCAAATATCTGTCAAAATAATCCCATTGTAATTATTTTACCATGTCGTGCAGCCCTAGGTGAGCATCTTAAATGCTTACTCTTATGTCCTGGTGCTAAAATGTTATTTAATTATGGTTCCTATTGTCATTATATGACGATTAAATGTACAGGAAATGCTAGCCACAGGGAAAAGTCAGTTTTATTATTAAATTCCTTAAATAAAATAGCAGTAGGAGTGGTGGGACATAAAGGTTATCTCATGATGTGTAATATGATATCGGAAACGCTGCTATGTGTCTGTGTAATGTACGAATCATCATGTTATTGATGAAACATTTCCCTCTGAAGTCATATAGACAAAGACATTTATGTATATTTATATATATATCTATATATATATATAGAGAGAGAGAAGAGTATTTCAAAGTGATATGAGGAGTAAAAATGCATTCAAACTTTTTAAAAACAGGGTGTGTTTGTGTGTGTTTATCACGTCATCAGGAAGTAGGGCAGCGCGATAATACGAGTTTGTTTATTGATCTTTGAGCAGAATCATTGTGACAATATGATCTTAACACGACATCGCTCACAGATCTGTTGTGAAGCTGCACATCAGACCTGTCAAAATCAGATATACGTTTCTGTTTTAGGAGGAGTTTGGTTTCGTGTAATGCATATAACTGTTTTGAACCTCTTTGCATACATTTGCCATATTGTGATATATATATTCTATACCTGATAATGATCTCAGCCATGTTGGCTGGGTCGTATTGGTTTACAGATAGCTGAGATGAGATGTAGTAGTAATATTTATACTATATTATATATTTTTCACCTTAAACTTAAAGGCAGCAACGTGTACGTGTGTCATTATTTCAGCCATAAATTGGAACAAGACAAGAGTAGCAGAAATAGGCAGCTCAAGTGAAGACATCTGAAGTAACAGAAACGTACTCTTCTGCCTAAATAACACAATTAATTGTATTGTGATTGTCTTTTACAACCCTAAAGCAAGTTGCATTAACTTTGGAGATGTGAAGTGTTAAGATAATAGTATATATACATTTTTAATCCACTGGTGAAACAGGCCCCGGGGTCCAGTAGAGTTGTTCTGTTATCTGCGGTTGGAAATGTTTTTAAAATGATGGGAATATAATCTCTCTGTGTCTCTGTTGACACCTGTCTATGGTGGCAAAGCTTTGATCAAACGCACTCAAAGAAGAAGTGATGGATGATACAGGACATATATACATAAACATAAACTGTTTCATTATCACTGCTGATTGTTTTTCTCAGTTCACTGATTAATTGTTCAGTTTATAACTTCCCAGAGCTCATTAGTACCGTCTTCCAATTACCTGACTCGTCTCACAACAATCTAAAAACACCCAAAGATATTTAATTTGCTATCATATAAGAGAAAGAAAAGCAGCAGATTGTCACATTTGAGAGCCTAGAACCAGAAAATGTTGATATATTTGCTTGGAAATGACAAATGATTCACAGATTAAAGAAGTTAGGGGAAGAATGATGGAGGGGGAAGAGGGAAAGAAAGTCAAATGGGAAGGAGAGAAGGGGTTAGTGAGAAAGGAAGGAGAGGTGAATGAGGCCAGAGGCAAGGAAAATGGGAAGAAAGAAGACATGGAAGGAGCGAAGGGGCAGGTGAAGGTCGGAGGGAAAGATGGAAGAAAGCGAGGAGAAAGAGAGAAGAAGAAAAAGACCTAGTCAAGGAGGTGGAGGAGTAAAAAGTTTTAGGGAGAGGAGAGGAGTTTGTTAAAATGGATGTGGACGGAAGGTGAGACAGAAGGAAGGAAGATATTAAAAGAGGAGGTTAAAAAGTAAGTGAACGACAGACGAGAGAAGGAAGGAAAGGGGAGGATGTATGAGGGAGGGAGAGGAGTTGGTGAGGAAGGGAGGGAACAAAAGAAGGACGGAGAAGAGGAGGCAAAAAAGTTGTGGGAGAAGTAGTTAGGGGAAAGGACTGATAGAAGAAGGGAGGACGGAAGAGAAGGATAAAGGGGGGATGAATGATTTGACGAGGCAAAGAAAAATGGGGAAGTAGGTCCACGTGAAGGGGAAAAGAAGGAGTAACGCAAGGAAGAAGAGGAGAAGGAGAAAGTGTGAGGAGGCAAGGAAGAAGGGGAAGGTAGTAAGGAGGCAGGAAGTGTGTTAAGGCTCTGAACAATAAGTGGCGGCCTGCTGTGTTTGCTGTGCGAGGGAAACTATCCACTGACCTGCTCTGTGTTTTTTTTTCTCTCCCTCTCTCCTTTCTCTGCCTCCGTTTCCTTCCAGGCTGACTCACCGCTGGAGCCGCCTGAACATAGAAGAAGTTTGTGAGAGAACGAGGGAGCGAGGAAACCTGTGAGACAGCGAGCGTGAAGGAGGGGAGGGTAGAGAGAGGAGGAGAGTAAAAAAAAATAAAAACTAAAAGAGGTGAGGAAGACGAGGAGGGGAGTGAGATCCGAAGACAAGCAAGAGAAAGTCAGGTTGGGTCGGCAGGGGCGAGAGGAGGAAATTAAAAGTGAAAGAAAAGAAAAGAGAAAGATAAAGAGAGACACAACAGACTCATACAGCTCAGTGGGGAACAAGTTGACAGATCTGAGGTCAGGCGCAGGTAGGCGCAGGTGGGTTGGAGGTCGGAGGTCAAGCGGTCAGACGGAGAGGCTGACTGAGCTTCAGCTGCCCCCCCACAACAGCTGTCCCTTCACCGTCACCACACTGGGAGAACTGGGAGAACTGGTGACGAGGAGAAGCCACCATGAGCGACCAGAACGTCGTCAAGGAAGGCTGGGTCCAGAAAAGAGGTGAGGAGCTTTATTTTTTAAATGTTTATGTTTTGCTGCTTTAGATGTAGCTGGTGATGTTCTACATGTTTCTGCTTACAATGAAGTACTGGTACACATATAGGTCATTACATATCACTCATTATATAATGCCCGACAAGGTGTTCTTTATCAGGAATTAATGGACGACGTGGAGCATCATAACATTCATATGTTTATGAGCTCTTTAGCCAGATTTTTGTTTTCATTCAGTTCATTTCAGTGCATTAATTGAGAACTGACACCAAGCAACCAATCAGAATCGAGTATTCGCCTGCTCCCTGGTATAAATCGTGATAAATTTTCTCTAAATTCAGTGAATAAATAGTTTATATGCAATGACCACATGGAAATCTTATTACATTCATATACGCCATAAATAAAAGGTACTTACTCATGTTTGATTATTTTTCTCCTTTTATTTAGAACCTTTGTGCAAATTTTTTAATTAAGTATGAAACAAAATATAAAATATTATTGTTTCAGTGGACGGGTCACCCGAGTATTTTAACGTGCGGTGACCCATTTAAGCATTTTTCAGAGAAACACAGAACGAGAGAGCATTCGGTACCACGTTGGTTTCCACAGGCTCGTTAACAACTCGCCACCTCCACACGAGGCTCGCCTGCTTTTATGAATTGTGGAGGAAAAAAATCCAAAATGCTAGTTGTGTTTTTTTGGGCGGGCGACTTAATAAAACAAACTGCTGGAGAGAGGCGGAGCTATATGAGTTTATATGACACCAGGTGTGTGTGTGTGTGTGTGTGTGTGTGTGTGTGTGTGTGTGTGTGTGTGAGAGAGTTGAGAGAGAGAGCAGATTAAGGTAGTTTGTGAGTAAACGCTTGTTTTGCATTGCATCCCTGCTTCATCAACGCCCTTCAGAGCCCATATTTCTCTCATATAAACTCACATAAACTCATATAAACTATACACTAGAGGGTGACTTATGAACAATAAAGCAAAATATAAAACGAAAGGCGTTCTCTAGAGGTAACACTGAAAGCTTCAGTCTCATTAATGACAAGCTGTGAGACAAACAGTGACATTTTTCCCCATTCTGATGTCATTGAGTTAACTTTAAAGTAGTGTGTTTTCACAGTGATTTTTCTTTCTGCATGTTGTGCAAACAGGGTGAACATCTTCTAAAGTTTCCCTCAGCACTCGTATTAAAATCAGAATGTGCTGCCACTGCCTTCCTCCATGTTTTCATTGACTGATTTGATTCATTCAGCTCCATTATTGTCTTAAAAAAAACTATTAAAAACACATCATTGGGCAACATGTTCCTTCATTACCATGACACACACACACACACACACACCGTAATTTATTTTGACTCAATCCTGCTGCCCCAAATACTCACTAGAGCACCAAATGTGGATTAATCCGCCACTGAAAGTAGTCCTCAACAAATGCACTATTTCCTCCTGGTTTGTTAGAAACTGTTGTGAGAAAGAAACTAATTGATGAATCATTTTATCCACTACTCTTGTCAGCACTATAAATGTTATTTTGGTGAGTCACTCTGGTTAAGAATTTGAGGTAAATCCCACCGATGCCTTTTTGTTTCAGTTTATTTAAACTTGCTCCGTTGTGGTCAGGATGCTACAGATTCACATAATGATTATCAGTGTTTAATCACGTTGACCAGGGTCGTGCAGCCCTGCTACAAAGTGCTTCTCTTTCCCCTTCAGATGAAGGTGTGAATATAGCTGACATTTTCTGACAGAAACAGAAACAACATTTCTAACCAGTTCTTGGAAATCACTTCTCCTTTTTTGCACAAAGGAAGCAGATTTGTTGCACAGCTGACAGTTGGATTGAAACCTGGCTGATGTGTTCTGGTCCTTGTGGCTGTCTGTGTTTGTGCTTGTTTGAATGAATTAATTTATCTCTGTGTGTGTGTCTGTGCCTGTTTACGAAGGAAAAATGAGGCATTCTCAGCCGCAGATCGCTGCTGTTCTCTGTTCTTCTTCTTCCTCTGATTTCCATTTTTTACTTTGAATCATTTAATCAACACTTGTTCATTTAGCGTTCAGGTGGAGATGCTCGTCTTGCTCTAGGACATCTGATACCAAATTAACTCAGCAGCTGTTGAGGGGATTGAACCTGAGACTGAGTCGTGGTACAGTGCTGTACTGAAAATGCAGTTTACGTATCATAACATTAATTCTTTCAACTAGCTTTTGTTGTTGAACTAATCCTATACTCAACACTTATTCTATATTATATGTTACAGCAATCTTAAACTACACTTTTTCCACACTTTTTAATTTGCTTACCGTCAGTAACATTTGCCGTTCTGAGCGAACAAAGGAGGGTTCAACGTTAATGTTTTTGCACTTTGTCGCTCAGGCAAGAGGTTTAAAAATCCACTTGTTTGACGTCAGTTTTTATTTCCCCCTATACAACTTGTTTTATTTATTAGCGACCATCAAATAACAACAAAGACCCTCTTAGCTGCCATGCAAGCGAGTTGTTTTCAGCTCTGGTTTCAGAAACTTGACGTACCGGTAAAAAAAAAGACCCCATTTTTCATCGGCCTGGTTTAGTTGCTAGATTTACTTTCCCGTCCAATGCAACAACAAGCCCCAAATGATGCACTTAAAAATGATGCAGGTAAATTGAATGTGGAATTATGGGCCAGTAACAAAATGATGCAGGTAAATTGAATGTGGAATTATGGGCCAGTAACAATAAAAAATAACATAATAAAATCATATTCTTCATTTGATACACTTATGAATGTGAACACAGTACATAGAGTTAGTATGGAGTGTGAAATTGAAACACAGCTGTTGTTTTTGAAATGCAAAACCAACAGGAAACCAGCTTAACCCTCTTCTTCTGTATCTTTCAGTGGTTTCCATAGCCACTTACTGTCTATAGTCCGTATTATAGTACAGCTGAACACACTATTTAGTTCTTCCCATAGAAACCTGCAGATAAACGATGGGTTGCTGCACCGAGACGTCAGTGAAATCACTATTTATGATTGAGAAGCTGTTCGGGCTAACGACAACACCTCCTGTGATCGACTGTGCCGCCTTTTAAAAATAAACAATCGCAAAGAGAGTTACAGGAAGTTGTCTTCTTAACCACAGCGCCTGATGGTGCGTGACCAGGCCTGTGTTATTAGTTTGGAAAAGCTTTGTTTTCATGGTCCACACTACAAAACAAGACCAGTGTTATCAGATCAATTCACAGCTAAGGGTGGTTAGGAAAAACACAGTTATTTGGTTGTTGAAAAAACACCGGCCTCAGTCATGAATTTTCAGTGTGGACACGGCCTAAGCCACCCTTGCTAGTTAGAAGAACAAGCACCTCCAAACAATGGTTGTTTACCTGCCAGACGGCGAGCAGAGAGGGCAGGCTTTGCAGCGCTTGCAGCCCAGTCTGAGCTGCCCTTGGCTGGTGTGTTATTTCCCACAGTGATTTTGTGTGTGTGTGTTCGTGCTGAAGGTGTGTTTGTCTGGTCTGAGCTCAGGGCTGTTGGCTGGCAGGCAGGCAGGGGGAAGTTTCTCTGTGGCACTATGAGCATACAGAGGATGACCTAACACTCTAGTTCCTTCCTCTCCGGCCCCCACAAGTCCCTGAATTGTTTATTGCACCTCTGTGTGCTCTTATAATTCAATCCTAACAGCCCTCTTAGAGGAACTGCCCCAAGCAGCTCTCTGGGCTGTTTTAAGATCAAAACACAATTCAGGACAGTTTGGAAACTGGGGTGTTGAAGCTGAATTTTTTTTTAGAATACAAAAGTCATAAACTTTGAATATGGAGCAACATTATTGTTCTTGACTGCAGAGTTTATGTTGGTGGAGACTCTAACCTCAAAAACTAACCTGTTTCGGTTGTTAGAAATAGTATTTGAATTGATTGTATTCACAAACTTGATGTATCTGTCTCAGATAAACTTAGGACAAAGCCTTTTGTTAGGTTAGTTTTGAACTAAGTAACAGAAACAAAAGACTTGGGGGGAATTATGAAAGACCTCACAAAATGACATCTTTACTGCTTTAATATGTTGTATTTCTTGTTGAACGGGATGTTGGGTGGAACATAATGCAGCGAGGAATCATTTTAAACTGAAAACCAATGGGAAATCAGTCAAAGCGAAAGGTCACTGAGTTGACAGGAGAACAAGAGGGGCAGCAGGTCTACTTATTTGACCTTTTTTTTGCTATTTCTTTTAAGCGAATGAGTACGCTTCTTTCCCCCCACACACACATTGGGAGCAATTTGGGGTTCAGCGTCTTGCTCAAGGACATTTGAGGTTGATCTGGAACCACTAACCCTATGTTTAATGGTCGGCCCGTTCCACCCAAGTGAACCTATTGTGACGTCACTCATTAGTTTGTGGAGTACCGTTCTGAAGCCTCAAGTTTGGCATTTTGGCCATTTGGCATGTTGTGTTTTTGCAGCCAGCAGTGGTGACGTACTGCGAGTTAAGCTGTGCTCAATTGGCTGCAACTGGTTCCAACTTGCGCGAAACAATGGTGGCTCGCCTGGTCACACAGTTTCTTGTTTTACAGATAAACAGTACACTAAAGTGTTTGAACAGCACTGCCTAGTTTGACAGTTCGATCTGAGTTCTGCTGGACGGACTCACTGAGAATGAGCTGTCAATCACAAGGTAGCCCTGCCCTAAAGCATTCCCTGTTTTATGGTCTGTTTTACTCTAAATGGGACCATCAGTTACTAAATGAACATCATGCTGTATGGAAGAAGACTGAAACTAGAGACTGAGACCAGAAACTCATCAGGAAACTGTTTACTGAATAAATCAAGTGAGAAATAGGCTCATTTTTGGAGCCAATCTCCTGCCCCCTGCTGGCCATTAGAAAGACTGCAGGTTTCACATTGACTTTAGTTTTCAGGCCAAGTAAGCTCAGTCCACTTTTTATTATATAGTCTTACCTGAGCTACAGGTAGTGGAACCATAGAGGATATAATATATAAATCATGCAGCATGAGGTCACCAGTTAAAAGTACCCTGTGGAGTGAGTTAGTACACATTGTGTGTATCGTGAAGGTCTAATGCTACGTTCACACAGCTCTGTAGCTCTGTTGGTTTGATGCTTTGACTGTATAATTTACATACGTTGCTCTGTCTCAGACATAAAGTTGTTCATTTCCAGTTGCACGGTTTGTTTCCTGAGTACAGAAGGGTTTTGTTTTAGATCTTCTTTTTTTGACCTTACCGGTATGTGTTGTTGAAACTGTTTTAATGACACGCCTGAGCGGGTGAGACTGACTGGCGTCGCAGTCGGGTATCTGTGCTGGAAGTGATCCCAACTCCACTAGAGGATCGTCTCGCCAGCTTCATGCCAACACACAGTCTTATTGTTGGTGCGTTCTTGGTGTCTCACCGCCACCGACTGATGATCAGCTAAAATAGCTTGAAACCAACGGCAGGAATGTGTATCATGTTGCACATGCATGTTCGTTCTTGCTGTTCTTGTGCGTGTGCATGAGACAAAACTTTACTCCATAGTGGTTTAAAATTTAACAGAGTACCTTTTGGTTTCCAGGAAGTGACGGTTAATCAGGAGTGTAAAGTCCCTGTTTAATTTAATTAATGTTTTAATAACTCACTGACTGACCATTGTCATTGACGACCACCCACCTAGAGCCCAAGGATCTGTCCTAGGTTTCTGCCTTTTAACAGGCAGTTTTTCCTTGCCCTTGTCGCCAAGTGCTTGCTCATGGTGGTACTGTTGGGTCTCTGTAATTAATGTTTTAAAGAGTTCGGTCTGGACCTGCTCTATTTGAAAAGTGTCCTGAGATAACTTCTGTTATGAATTGGCGCTATATAAATACAATTTAATTGAAAATTGAATTGAATTGTCATCCTTCAGATTGTGAAACTTTGTCATCGTCATGTAAATATGATGATCCATAAGTGCAGCATACTGTAGCTCTGGTAAATCATTCTGCAAGTGCCGAACCAATTAGACAAAATATTCTAGAAACTGTTCCATTAAATAAAATAAATCAACAGCAGTTTTGTTAATTGATTAATCATCATCTTCCCTTTCCCCACCTATATTTATCCTGCCAGTTTGTTGATTGATCCAGTATCTAAAGGCTCACTTTTGTAACCCCTGCCTGTATTCAGCTGGCAGACAATTCATAACAATTTTGAGAACTGATTAATAGTTTAAACCATTAATCAGTGAAGAAACTGTTTTTCAAATTGTTTAATTTGCTGCTTTTGTTTTATAATATTATATTATTGACTACATAATTAATCAGATAGTCTTTGATGGATGTATTGATGAAGAAAGAAATCCTTACCGGCAGCTTAAATGATTCAGCAACCTAGATCTGCCTGCAAGTTATCCTATGCTGTGGACTTTATCTTCCTCTGCTGCTTGCAGGCTTTTTAAGTGGAACTGACTTGAGTTTACTGACTTCATCCCATTACTGTCTTTGTCATCACACTGTTGTTCTGAAGCTGTGTTAATCATCCGACGTGTGAGAATAGTTTCGTCAGAGTTTGATTCGTCGGGTAGTTGCGGAGGCCGTTCAGTTCAGTCGATCACTAATACAGACACACTTTGGTTCCAGCGCCTTGTTCTGGTGCTAATGTGACTCTGTAAGATGTCAACATCTCACCACGACATATTCATGTATTCCAACATTTGCTGTAATTGTGTCGCAAATTGATGAGTCAGAACAGCAGGAAACCAAACACTTCATGGCTGCTGAATAAGAATAAGCACTGTGTTCGTACAGTATTTCTCCTTCTTCTTCACCTAGAAGTGGTTACAAATGTTTAAATGGATTTGTTAGCTGATAGCTGGGTAAATAAAGTAGTAAATAAAACATAAAGGGGTTACTTTAAAGTTTTCTTTTATACAAACATGCTCTGCGCTTCTAAACTTATTCTGTTTCACAATATGCAGCAGAAAACCAAAATTAACCAGTTCAAAGTGATGAGTCGTCCACTACAGCAGGTGTGATTTTGTTCCCGCTTTCAGACGAGACCCAGTTGGAGCAGTGAGTTTTACTTTGAGCCTGTTCCTGTTTGAGCCTGTTTCATTTATTTTAAAGGTCCAGCGTGCAACATTTAGGAGGATCGATTGGCAGAAATGCAATATAATATTTACAACTATGATTTTATCAGTGTATGGTTTGGGAATTTTACATTGGAGCTCATTGTAACGTCATAACTTCATTCAAAGTGGAAACAAAATAAAAACGTCTTTGTTGGTCTTTCCTTCTCTACTTTGGTCAAAATTAGGGATGAATGGCTGAAACCAAAAACCGAAAATGAGGAAACCAAGGCCGAAAACCGAAAACCGAAACACCGAAATAAATTATTATGCCAATTATTAGTACCATTGCATTTATGGCTATGACTGTGTACTAACCTCACTAAAATCAAGGCATTGCAATTCAAAGAATAAATCAGTTACAAAAGTATGAAACTATTAATCCCACATCCTCTACCACAGAGAATGGCTGATCATCTAAGGCAATGAATTCCATAATATTTTGTGTGATGCCCTTTGCCTTGGCACCATCACTGGAAAACTTTCTTGTCTTTTCAAAAACGTCCGCCACAGACAGAATGGGCGTGCTCGGATTGATTTTCCTTTTCTGTGCCACATTCTTCTCATATTCAGAATGGCAATCAGGATGTTTGGATTTCAGGTGATAAATTAAACCCGACGTGGAGAAACTCTTTGCAGATGCACGCCCTTTCAAATTTCAGCATTACACGTTTGGCAAATCGCTATCAGTGGGTCTTTCTCAGATATATTGAAAGACATCCACACCGCAGACATGTTGCCACTTATCCAGACAAGCGTGTGCTGGCCGCGGTTTTTGTTTGCGTCATCACAGCTTTCTGTTTTGGCCGTGTTGTTTCGGTGAAGTATTTTAACAAATAAAATAAATAAAATTTTCGGTGGCTGAATATTTGGTGCATCCCTAGTCAAAATAAATCCTATCCTCACAAACATGGATGATAAAAACAGCAGTTTCAGTCGCTCTTCGCAGCTGCACACGGAGCAGACCGGCCGTGTAAACAAAACACAGAGAGGCTGCGGTAGCAACACAGGCAGAGTCATTCTCAGGCCGCCATGACTCCACCATATCTTTAGTAAATAGTTGACGTCAACCACCACAAAGCGGCAACAACATGTCAGACTGAATAATGTAGAGCAACAAGTCTCATTATCAGGCCAATACCAACATTACAGAGACACATACTTCCACATTCATTATTAAAGTGATTATAATAAAGTCAAAGCTTTGCTGCATGATGTAACCCGTCACGTTTTCTTCCATCCTGCAGGTGAGTACATCAAGAACTGGCGACCGCGCTACTTTCTGCTGAAGACAGACGGCTCTTTCATCGGCTACAAGGACAAGCCACAGGACTCTGACCTGGCCTACCCGCTCAACAACTTCTCCGTAGCAAGTGAGACACAAGCGGAGGCCTTTCGTCACATACTTCATACGCTACAAACCGATATCTGTGTAACACATCGATCTCTGTGTGACTTCCAGAATGTCAGCTGATGAAGACGGAGCGGCCAAAGCCGAACACCTTCATCATTCGCTGTCTGCAGTGGACCACTGTCATAGAGAGGACTTTTCACGTCGACACTCCTGATGAGAGGTGAGCCGTCATTCTCCTCAGGGTCCTTTTTAAAACTGTTGTAAACAGTCTAAAATCCAGTAGTGTGAATTTCAAGTTTTACAGGTCTAGAAAAAATGGATTGGATTATGATGTTAATGTTACTTTAATTTATAAAGTCTTGCTTTTAAATGTGTTTTTGTATTGATTCAGTTTGTATTTATCAAGTTCACATTTAATTGTCAGATATAATCATACAGATTATATTACCCAGTGACAATAGAAAACCAACATTTCTACGAATGCAAACAGTATTGCAATGTGGTGTGGCGTCTTCTCTCACCAAAATATTGCTACTTCTAGAAATATGTTAAAATTGTAAGTTGTTAACGTTAGTTTCATCTAATATGGGGAAGTCCAGGCTTCAGTTCTGGCTCTAGAAAAGCACATTTAGTGCTCGTCGAAGCCTGTTGAAAATAATGAATTTGAAGCCTTTGCAGGTTGTGCAAGAAAGCGCTCAAATGAGTAAATGTGGGTATAAAGGCAGTTTACTTCCGTAGGAAGTCAGAAATGTTCAGTTGAATGTTCATTGAAGGTGAATAAGTTCATTTATTTAGTAATTCAGATGTTCTTTTTTTCCCCTAGTATGGATGGGAAATAGGTAACAAATTGCATTCGTAATGGTCTTAAAAAGTCATAAACTTAACAGTTTTTCTCTTATATGACTCTGTAGACTTTGTCTGGAGGGTTTGTTAGTATTTATTTGACAGAACAGGGTTAATTTAGCACTGGGAGAAATAAGGATAACCAGTTGAGGAAGAATATATCTGAAAATATCTCACCGGCTACTGTTATTTCTGAGCTGCCCCCCGCTGATCATTACTATTTTTAAGTTCAAGTTCAGATCAGTTCGTGAATTGAAGAATAGAAAATGATGAATATTATTGTTATCTTCACAGAAAAAACTAAACTATCAAAAGAAACTTACATGATTTATTATTTTAATGCAGATATTCTGTTGTGCTGTAAGACACATCTTTACTGCTACTTGTCATCTATAAAATGTAGTTAAAAAAAAAGATATGAGAGAGGACTCACTGTCAGCAGACACCAGATATAAAAGGTCTGGAAGTTCTCAGTGTGGAACCAGGCTGGAGGGTTTTTGTGTTAACTTCTCCTCACACAACAGGAGTCCGTCGTCACAGTGAGAAGAAAGACAGGAAACGGGGGTGTGGGGCTGAGACTAGACGCCAAGTTTTTAAGGGTTCCAAAACACAATATAATGTATACATTATGACTTGTTACCTGATGGTCAGTGGGTTGTTATGCAGTTGTTTTGTCAGAGTGCGTCCGCAGGTTGTTATGAGGGAGGATATTTTGTGTTGAATTGGCCACCAACTCATTTTTTGTCTGTATTATAAAAAGCTGCAAATTTGGAAAGTTTGCAAATCATTTTAGGGTTTTATGTTGCATTTATTTGTCCATTTTGGTGGCAGATGGGTGGACTTTTGTCTACCTAACAGCATTTTAAATGTGCACCAGGCAGGTAAAGACAAACAGTTTTTCTGATAGCACTAAATCAAACAGTGAAACCTTTTGATGACAGAATAGTCCTCTTAAAGCTGGATTTATCCTTAACAGACGACGTTAGCGGCAGTATTGTAAAGCAGGTTGTATGGTGCCACAGTAACTTCACAAAGAGAATGAAAGAATGTAAAAGATGAGAAGGTTTCCTTTGTCTTCCCCCCATGTTAATGTTCTTCTCTTCAATGTGAAGGAGAGTGGGGGATTGTGGTGAGCGGAAGGTTTGCAGATGTGTGTTGAAAATGACGTAAAGAGTAAAGAGAGTTGTGTCACTAAGACACAGTCAGTCAGACACTTTGGATGCTGCTGAATCAAAAATGCTGCTAAAAATTTAAATAAAAAGTATTGAACAACTGATTCATGTTGTGGGCCATGTATTTCCTCCTTCGTGGCGGTAAAATAGCTGTTGGATGTTTGATGGCTAGGTTTAGCAAAGTGCATCCCCAAATGTATTATTTACAGTTGTTTAAGAGAGGGGAAAAAAGTGGTATTGGGTTGGTATCGGTACTCAAGATTGCGGTATCGGAAATGAAAAAGCGGAATTGAGGGGTCCCTAGTTCTGTGCTAAAGAGGCTTACCCAAAAAATGAGTGCTGCCTGCTGGTATTTTAACCTGCTGTTGTGTCCTGTAGGGACGAGTGGGCCGAGGCCATCCAGACGGTGGCTGAGTCTCTGGCCAAGCAGGAGGAGGAGGGCATCCTGTGCAGCCCCACCTCCCAGATAGAGAACGTCAACGAGGAGGAGATGGACACCTCCATCAGCCACTACAAACGAAAGGTGACGAACGGTTGATCGCCCCTGATCGCTGCCTTACTTTGAAAAGAAGGATGTAAGTGCGTTGAATGATGGATTTCTTCACGTCATACCTCTGTTTATCTTTGTCCAGACAATGAATGACTTTGACTATCTGAAGCTTCTGGGCAAAGGCACTTTTGGAAAAGTCATTCTGGTGAGGGAGAAGGCGAGTGGCACCTACTATGCCATGAAGATCCTAAAGAAGGAAGTCATCATAGCCAAGGTCCTTTTTTTAAAATATCAGCTTTTACTTGTTGCTGTTGTTTGGTTGTCTGTAAAGCACTTTTTAACTCAGTTTTGGAAGGTTTACATGTTTTTAATTTAAGCAGCAGCACTAAATTAAGTTTCTATTCTTCATGCCAGTTTTTGGTCACTGGATTGAAATGACTGTCATATAATACTTTTTTTAAAAAGATCTACCTTGTGAAAATGCAAAAAATTATGATTACCTTCAATGTCAAATATTTGGCATGTAACTGTTAGTCTAGTATGTTCATATTAAGAAACATTTATACTGGCACTAGGCTGATGTTCACACACCTCCCTGCCAATTACATCTTCAACCTTTTGACTAAAACAAGAACTCGTTTGCAGGCGAGCTCCTTTTGTCTTCTGATTAATCACTCTGCCTCTTCTTTTTCTCTTTGTTTATCACAGGATGAAGTTGCTCACACACTCACAGAAAGTAGGGTATTAAAAAACACTCGGCATCCGTTCCTAACTGTGAGTATCAGCATGTAGATTGAAAACATTGTGAATTCTGTGTTAAAATGAAATCCACCTCCCTACTTTTACACTGTTGAGTTATAAAAAGAGAAGCTGTGGCCACCAACTTCAATTCAAAGACTCAAAGCTTCTGTTCTCCAAAAAAATAATGTGGTTGAAATAAGCAGCTGAGCACGGCTGAGTTTTAAAAATATGATGTATATTCTGTGTTGCAGTCTCTGAAGTACTCGTTCCAGACTAAGGATCGGCTGTGCTTTGTAATGGAGTACGTCAACGGAGGAGAGGTGAGAGATCAATGAACTGCTTTTAAAAAAAAAATGTTTTTGATGCTGGCAGATGTTTTGGTCTTATTTCAACACGGGAGTTATTTCAAGAATTATTGAAGAAGGATTAATAACACGGTGCGATTCAAAGAGCTTTAACAGAAAGCAGCCACTCCCCTCACTGTGGTTTGTGTTATTTGGAGAGTTGTAGGACTGGGGTGTCTGCTCTGTCGCGATGATTGCATCAGTTCATCAAGGTCCACTGTGTGTGGATCTATTAAATATAATATTCATAGGTATGTTTTCATTAGTGTGTAATCACAGAGGGAGTCCTCTTCCTCTGTGGTAATTATGAGAAGAGACAGAGAGAGGTTACGATGACTGTGCTGTACACCTGCATGAATATGATTGGATGTTACTAGTCAGCTGATGGCCACTCAGCTGTGAGTGAGTGAGTGATTGTGAAGCATAAATAAAGCAACTAATGTCAGTCAGTCAATGCAAGCACGCACATCAGTGCTCTGCCTGAAGTAACACTATGCTCCATTTTGTCCTGAGAAAGTGTCTATTTAGAGATAAATATACCATTTAAAGTAGTTCTTCTACTGTAAGCTCTCTCTCTCTCAGGGATATGCTGAAAAGAAGTCATATTTAAAATGGGTGTTACGTAACCTTCTTAAGCTTCTGTAAGGTCGATCAGTTTCTGCCACTGACATTTCTTTCTGTTTTATCTCTACACACAAAAAACTGCTACAAAAAACATCCAAAATAGTGCCTTCAGTTTCAAAAGTAAGACAATTGCAGGTCCATGGTTAAGGCCACAGGAATAAATATTCCTATGTATATAATGTTTGTGTTGCAGCTGACATTTCATCAGAGCTGTGAGTAACTGGAGCTACTTCCACCTGACTTACTTTCAATATTATTTTCATGCAAACACATCTTGTGCTTCTCTACAAAGCACAAATAAGTGTTGGTACCGTCACCGTGAACTCGGGAAGAGTAGTTGTGATATTATGACGTGAGGACGGCCCTGCCCAACCATGTCCCTTGTAATTCTGCAGCATTTAGTGTCACTTTCCTCGTTGGCTTTTTTCCTTTTTAATTCTCAGCTCCACCTTTGTATTGTAATAATAAGGAGCAGAAAGAGCAACTGGTATCCTCGTGTTGGTGTATATGTACGTGTGACCAATGGCAGAGATCATATCATCAGGTTGAAAGCAGGCGGTGGTGGGGAGCTGACAGGAGGAGGAACTGGGAAATTCCTCCTCCTGCAGCCTGGTATTTTTAAAAATTGAGACATATTTAATTTTTAAAAAATATTTTAGATATATAATTAGTCTATTTAGAGGAAAATATCAGTATTCTTCCTCATTATTAAACTGGTTCTAAACTGCATGCATGAAATATTCCCACACATACACAGTGAGATTTATTTTAAGCATTTAATTTAATGATGTCATTCTACTGTTCTGTGTAATTTGATCTGCTTACCGGTCTTAACTGTAATAATATAAGTTAACACAACAAAGATGTCTGAGCTCTATGAACTCTGTTTCTCGGCAGCTGTTTTTCCATTTGTCAAGAGAAAGAGTTTTTTCGGAGGACCGCACTCGTTTCTACGGCGCTGAGATCGTATCCGCTCTAGACTACCTACATTCTGCCAAGATCGTCTATCGTGATCTGAAGGTAAAACATCCGTTACTTGTGCTGAGTTTACGGTTATTAACATGTAGAAAAGAAACAGAAATACGTCCAGAATGTGTATGTGAGGTGGAAAATCAGAGGGTCATATTTGTTATTCCTCTCGTCCTCCTCATCAGCTTGAGAACCTCATGTTGGACAAGGACGGCCACATCAAGATCACCGACTTTGGCCTCTGCAAAGAAGGCATTACCGACACTGCCACCATGAAGACCTTCTGTGGAACACCGGAGTACCTGGCTCCTGAGGTCAGAGGTCACACGACAGACTATTAGAACAAAAATTAGATCATTTTGGTTCAATGAAACCTGCCTATAAATGAGAATCCTGAAACTAACTGTCCAAACTCAAACTGAGACTTTGCTGTCATCTGCTTTTGTCCTTGTAAGAAAAAAAAACATGTTTTTGTTTCTGTCACTTTGTTTGTCACCAAGGGCCAACCACCGGGCTTAACATTAAAGCAAATGTGGAAGTACCCGAAGATGTAGTTCCTCCTAATGGTGGCTAAATGTTTCTTTTAGAATGGAGTAGAATGCCAGTAACTAATTTCACTTCTTCTACTGCGGCTCTTGGTGGACATTTTTAAAGTTATTTTTCTATTAAGAGGAAATGAAAGAGGATATCAGATATGTCAGGGTCAGAAATAGTTACATCAGAAAGAAACGCTGAACAGGTTGGCTGAATTTTTCATTTGATCTAACAATAGTTAAAATGGCCTCTTACACAATATACATTATCACTCAAATATTGGGTTTCCGACTGTTTCTTTTTCTTGTTTTCCAAGCTGAAGAACAAGTTTAATGGAAGTACTGGTAACATAAGGGTTAAACAGTATTGTATGTTATCAGGTGCTGGAGGACAACGACTATGGGCGGGCGGTGGACTGGTGGGGTTTGGGCGTGGTGACGTACGAGATGATGTGTGGCCGCCTGCCGTTCTACAACCAGGACCACGAGAAGCTGTTCGAGCTCATCCTCATGGAGGAGATCAAGTTCCCACGAACCCTGTCGGCCGACGCCAAGTCGCTGCTGTCAGGGCTGCTCATCAAGGACCCCAACAAACGGTACGCACACACACAAATAATGTGGAGACACAACATCGCCAGGCTTTCACAAGAAACGGGCAAGCTGCTCTCAGCCAGGAAAACTGGTTCCAGCATGACACAAACCAAGAACTGTTTAATTAAGGCATAAAAGGACCAAAAAATACTTCAGAATATGTCAAATATAAAGAAAATTCTTCAGAATATGTCAAATATAAAGAAAATACTTCAGAATATGTCAAATATAAAGAAAATTCTTCAGCCTACTGTCTGTACTTTACCCAAACTATCAAGGTTACAAACATCCATTTATCTGTCCAGTCTTGCACTTCCTACCGTTTCACCTTCCACCTTCTCCTCAGCTGCATACTCCTCCCACCTGTTCTTCCCAGGTCTGATGGGATGCATAATCCATAATCCATCCAGATTAAAAAAATCTGAGCTCCTCACTTTGAGTAAGATATGAACAGATGTGGTCATCAATTTAAAGGTTATATATGTGCAATTCACTTGTCACTGGATGTCACATTAGAGCACTGGCATTTAAAACCAAGACAATGGGACAGAAATAAAATACAAATCACCAAAACCATCTGTGTTAACAAGATTCACAAAGTTAGGTCCTTGGGGACAAATACATACACAGAGTGCTTGTTTTTGCCACTGACCGATTGTAGGAATATAGGAAATACCTTTTGTTTAACCAGGAACAGCCAGAAGTTCTTGTTCTATTGTTCGCCATACTCCAGAGACAAAAACAGTAATTTCATATCATTGTAACATCATAACTTCATTCAGAGTGGACAGAAACACAATAAAACTCACCAAAACTGTCGTTGTTAGTCTTTCCACTGTTTCTACAATCATCAACTCTGCTTTGGTCAAAAATAAATCCTTAATTCACAGACATATGATGAGAAAAACAGCAGTTTCAGTTGCGCTTCTCAGCTGCTCTTGGAGCAGACCGGCTATGGAAACAAACCACAGGACAGGAGATCAAAACTACTTCTGTACATCCTGTATGAATGCACTGCTTTAATGCACCATTTAAACAGCTACATGTTAAGAAGAGAACTAAAACCTCTTAATGATAACTGGTATTTAGTGAAAGTGCTGTTAGACAAAACTGGCTGGTGACTTGCTGTTAATTTCCCACTCTGATTATCCCTGAGGCGTTTTCAGTCTCTAATGAAGAAACTGGTGAAAAGAGGCTACTGCAGCTTCAGAAAGCGAACTCGTTCACCCCAGCAAGTTATTTTGGGATCAGTGGCAGGTGGATATTCTGGTTCCATTGATGGAGACTTTGTAAGAGCAGTATTTGATGTCTTACTTCGACGTCTCCTTCTTCTTTTCTGACAGGCTGGGCGGCGGACCGGATGACGCTAAGGAGATCATGCGACACAGTTTCTTTGGCACAATCGACTGGCAGGACGTCTACGACAAGAAGGTGAGAGCAGGATTTAGCTGCGAGACGTCATCCGATCTTCAGTGGTAATTTATTCAAACAGCGTACCTGAGATATTCTGGTTGCAGGGTTACCTAATTTTTCAAAAAAGAAGTCTGGCTGGGATGTAAAACTCCAAAATAGAACGGAAAGGAAAGAGTACCTCGTCTCTATGTCTCATTTCAACAACATAAAGCAGTCCACACACCACCAGGGACACATTTCTGCTTTTTTATTTCTTTAACTTGAGTATTGAACACCTGAGAGCTTCCTAGCAACATGTCAGTCAAGGTCTTCATCCCTTGCTAAAAAAAAAAAAACCCTTTATAAACCTTATTCACTTCCTGTCTGTTTCAGCTGGTCCCACCCTTCCAGCCCCAGGTCTCCTCGGAGACGGACACACGCTACTTTGACGAGGAGTTCACAGCACAGACCATCACCATCACTCCGCCAGAAAAATGTAAGCACGTCTTTCAACCTGCATACTGTCCCCTGCTCTCCTTTTAAACACCAGTAACTCAATGAAACTCCTCAGTTGGATGAAGTGCAGAGTGCAGCTGTCAGTCAGTCTTGGAAATGACAAGTGGACAAGACGGATCTGCCAGCATCGTAGCATCGGGTATATGGGAGCATTACAGGTCATTACAATGACGGCACAAAGTGGTGGATAAAACGGTGACTGTGCAACACGTGGCTTACCCCAAAATTCCACCAGAGACACGTCTTTATAACGTTTGCTCTGTTATCTGCGTGTCTTCAAATCCCAACGAGAGCAATCTGGAGCCTGCATTTTATTTTGAAAATTGATCGGATTCTTGATGCTGTTTTGTGTGTCTGACTTCCTGTGTTTGCGATCTGCTCCGTTCTGGTGGCATTGGGGGGTTAGGCTAGCGGTCATACTTCCAGTATAATAAACCATTTTGCGTCTACATCAGTATTTGCTTCAATAACTGAACTCAACCTGCCTACATTTGGAACAGGCCTCTATATGGGACAGGCCTTTAATTCCTTCCCTATGAAAATTAGGCTAATAAATAACATCAGTTACGAATCATTCATTTGATTATTTGATATTCTGGTGCTCATGGTTTCTGTAAGATGAACTGAACGATTAAATAGTGAAGAATCCAACTGGTCTAATGATGTGTAGGAAGCAGGCTTATACATCCAAAACATTTCTATAAAATCCAAACCAGGCCTCTAATTGAGACTTTTTTTTTTTTTTTTTTTTTGCCAAATAAATGAAAAGCATGTTGTAATTGCCGATGGCCTCACCCCCCCTCTTTCGCTGTACCGAACTGAAAACCGAAAACCCCCAAAACCACAATATGAACCAAACTCTACTCGGAGCCACACTGCTTGTGTCATAAGGAAATATCTGCTGGCTTATGTTTACTTCTGTTTCTCTCTCCGCAGATGATGAGGACGGGATGGACGCGGCAGACAACGAGCGAAGGCCTCATTTCCCACAGTTCTCCTACTCAGCCAGCGGGCGGGAGTGAGCGCTCCAGCCCAGCCAGCCAGTATCGTCCCCATTCGTGGCCATTTTGAGGAAAACACGTAGCCATTTTAGGAAAAAAAAAAAAAAAAAATACCAGTCTCCCCTCTTTTTCTCCTTCTCTGCCTCCTCACAGACGGGGAGAAGTCTTTTTAGGGACTTTAAAAGAGGTTTTTGCACAGTGGGATAGACTCCAGCCGGTCTCCCCACACTAAAAAATAAGTCTCCTACATTTTCAGCGCTATTTACTGCAGAAGGCAATGTTTTTGTTATTTATTTTTTTCTCTCCGTCAGTATTAAGTTGTCGACCCGGGTTGCGTTCGTTTTTTTTTTTTTGTTTGTTTGTTTGTTTGTTGTTTCTGCCCTTTTTTCTTCTTCTTCTTCTTTTGACTTTTTTGCACTTGGTTTGGAAGAGCCGTTTTAGGGAACAAAAAACCAAAAATGTTGCCTTACGTGTGCAGATGTTTCGTATCATACCGACAGGGTGTTTTTTTTTTTGTTTGTTGTTTTTCCGGGAGAGGGCGGGCGGGTTTTGGGGTTGTGAGGGGTCATTCTTAGTTGAGAATAAGTGCATGGCTCGTGGTTCACTCAAAAAAAAAAAAATTACAAAAAAAAATATTTTCTTTCTCATACATTTGCCATGGCAGCGCACATTCCCCAATCCCATGGCAATGAAAATCACTGTCTACAGGTCAACAGAAAAAGACAAAAAACCACAAAAACAAAAACAAAAGAAAGACAGAAAACGAGAATGGACGAGTCTGTATCATTCCTTTCATCGTTGCAGTGTTACTACTTTGCTCTTGTATTTGTTTTTTTTCAACCCATGTGTTTTTTTTTTTTCTTCTCTCGCGCTTTACTTCTAGGTTGTTCTTTTATTTTGAAAACAGGAAACACTAAACTGCCAGAAACTGCACAGTTCACTCAGGCGCCACAGAGCACAACCGCGTTCAAACTCAGCTAACCGCTCCAGCTTTCCACAGCCGGCAGGGGAACGAGGCCTTTTCTCTGCTTTCTCACCGCTTCTTCTCCTCCTCCTCCTCCTCCTCCTCCTCCTCCTCTTCCTCCTCTTCACTTCCTCCGCTCTTCTGTTTCCTCATCGTAGCTGTAGGACTAGTGGAATGGGTGTTTACACAGGGAAATGTGGCTTAATGTATGTATGTAATGTATGTATGTACTGTACGTATGTGGGACATGGGGGTGGGGTCAACTTTATGCTGTCATAGCACACACACACACATAGTATACATATATATATATATATATACACACACACACACTCAGAAACAGGAAACAGCTCTACGTTTCCTGTACTGGTCGGATTGAAGTCGGCAGTTTTCTCCAAACAAAACTGGATTTGGTTTGATTTGACGTCAGGTGAAGCTGAGGACGTTTAGTCTCAACTTCTACAAAAATGTGTACAAAAATCCATACGGACTCCTTAAGGAGCGCGTACGACACGTTACAAGACTATAAGTCTTCTGCTTGTTTGTTAAAGCTTAAACCCGACAGAGAGGCAGTGAACTCGCACAAGTCATGTGAACTAAATCCACATCAGTCAGGACCCCAAGTTTCTCTATGGGCGCTATGAACAGACCAATAGTTGTCCTGATGTTTCCGGACAGTAAGAGAGTTTGTTAGGCTGATTTCCTTTCAGCTCGAGACCTTTCCAGCACCGCAGAGTAAACGTTATCATGCTAGTGGAGTAGTTGGGAAATGATACCACTCTTGTGTCTGTATTTAAAGGACCAGTGTGTAGGTTGTAGTGGCATCTAGTGGGGAAGTTATACAGCTCGGGCTTCTCGGCGTGCAGGCGGAACTACGGTCGCTGTGAAACTCGTGAAGAAGGCCGCGTCTAGAGCCGGTGTTTGGTTTGTCTGTTCTGGGCTACTGTAGGAACAAGGTGGTTCAACATGGCGGACTCTGTAGATAAAAATGGCACAATGAACACTTGGCGTTGGGGCCTGGAGGTGATTAGATTAGCTTAACAGAAAGACTGAAATCAAAGGGAAAAACCGCTAACCTCTCCTAAAGTTCAAAAATACATCTGTCAACTTGTCTGAAAGCTGATTTTGTCCTCGTTGTTCTTAAAGCTCACCAACCCGTTCAAATACTAAACCATAATGAAACCGTCTCGTAGTTTCAGTGCAGTTGCATCCATTCTGTGAGGCTCACTGCTAAAGGAACAGGCATCCAGTGTTTATACCTAAATCGGAGTTGTGTGTGTATTGAAGTGATGGTCGTGTACGTGTAATAATGTTTATGCAGCTGCTGTTCGATCGTGGAAGTATTTCAAGCAAACAATAAATACGACAAGCATAGACCGGAGTAGAGCGCTGCACAGGTCCACTCGCTTCCTTGCAACCGAAACCCCAGTGCGGCCGGGCCCAAAGTTAATTTGGTCTTTTCAAGTAGGTTAGGGTCCTGTTGCACAGTATGTGGTGAAGATAAGTTTGGGAAACCTCTAGGCCAGACTACAACCCCTGGCAGCAGTAGGTCCAGCTACAACTACAACTAATGTATCAGCACAAACGTAGTGAGTCCTGTCCTCTAATGGTCCGAGAGGTGCACAACACTATGAAGTCACTGCGTTTCATTTGTTTTCTGGAGAATACTGCCAACTTACATCTGTTCTGCAGAAACCGGTTCACACTCTTCAGGGTTCCCGCACACGTCCCGGAAAGGTTCAGAGGAAGAATTTGGTGATTTCCAGGTCTTAAAAAGCTATTTGCAATTGCGAAAGATTTTTGGAAAATGGTTGTTTTCTGATGCCTTGTCATCTCATACTCTTGAAGTTCATGTGTAAAAGTGGATGAAATAGGTCAGAGAAATACGAAACATATCGGAACAGTGAGTAAAACCGCGAAGTCTAGTTTGGATCTTTGTGCAACTGTGTGGGAACCCTGATGGCAGACACACACACACACACTTACACACAAGGTTTTCATTCATATTCACACGCAGACACAGATACACAAAGACTGTTTTTAGACGATAAATCAGAGTGAAGAGAGTTTAATTCATCATGGGGACAACTAACAGAAACAAGGCTTCCAGCTCCAGACACAGGGCTTCTCTCCCTGCCCATCCTGTCAGTATTGTGAGAAGAAAAATTTATATACACACGTTTTTAAAATCTGAACCGAGGGGTATCAATAAATCACTAATCATGTCACAGATCACGAGAAAACTGAGCCGTGAGACACTCAAGTATGAAGACTGTGAGGACTGCCAGAAAAAAGTCGAGTCGCCCAAACTTCTTGATGTAAATATGCAATGCCTTTTTTTTTCTTGTTTTTTTTTTTTTTTTGTCTTTAGTGGCATCTTGACAGACGAGACATAAACTTTTTCTTTGTTTTTCTGTGTGACTGTACTTCAAAAGCTTGCTGATGAGAATAGTGACCGAAAAAAAAAAAAAAATACAACCAACCACCGCAAACGACTCAAAACCTGCATTCAAGAAAAGAAAAACTAAAAGAAGGAATAAAAAAAAAAAAACTAAATAAAGACAGCGTCAAAAGACTGGACCCTTCCATCGATTCTTCTACTTTTCTCGGATTGATACACCGACTCAACTTATCCATGGAGGATGTTTCCATGGAGACAAACCCCCCCCCTTCCTTCCGTCGCCGTGGTCCCCGAAAATGATCCGACTCCTGAATTTCTGTGAGAGGACTAACTGTGGAGTCTGCACTGTCATTTCTGTCCCCCATTCACCCTCTTTAAAAAAGAAAAAAGTTATAAAAAGTGGGATCATGGCTGACCTTTTATTTTTATTTTTTTGTTGCAGTGCTGGTTTCATCAGGTTGTTCCAGTCCCATCATTCCTTGCTCCTCCTTTCGCTCCTCCTTTTTTTGTACCATAGTATTTGTTTTATTTATGTTTGTCATTCTAGGCAGTGTTACCTTGTATGTCGTTAAAAAAGGCACCTCTTGAAAGTCGCTGAAGAATGATGATGATGATGATGATTATGATGATGATGGATGCATTAACTGAAGTCTCTTTTTATTCTTTTATTTTGTTTTATTTTATTTTTTTGATCGTTTGCTTGTTTGTTTTCTTACCAAAACATTAGGGCAAGAACCCAGTAGTGGACTTGCATTGCCGTGGTAGTATTTATTTTGAATTAAATTAAAAGAAATACATTTCAGGGTTTCTGCTGTCGTGACTCTTTATTTCAGCATTTTTAAGAGGCGAAATTTTACCTCGTTTTTATCTCAAATGCTGATTTCTTTTAAGGAAAATACCACTTTTACCAAATACCACCCACGTTAGAGTTGACCTAGCCAACGTCAACAGAACAAAAGAAGCCAAAGTTCTCAAATGCTGCCTAAATAAAATATTAAATAAAAAAATATCAGACCAAACAATAAATAAATAGAATTAATAATATGTGTAGACATTTAAAAGGACCTAAAGAGTCTTCAGTCCAGTTTGTGGCAGCTCTGACCTTGATGGTCGTCACAAATAAAACTCCTTCTCTCAGACTCGAATCAGGATCATTGACAGTAAATACAAGGATCGTAAGTCCGGATCCTCTCATAAGTTTCTTCTTAAAAAGGACCAGTGTGTGGGATTTAGTGGCATCTAACGCCACAGGTTGGTTTGTTCTGGGAAGAGGACTCACTCTGTAGATAAAAACAGCCTCATTCTAAGGTAACAAAAACATAAAGATTCCTATATTCAGGTGATTACACACTAATGAAAACATACCTGTTAATATTATATTCCATTTCTGCCAACAGATGCTCCTGAATGTGACACACTGGACCTTTAACACCAGCTTCCATTATCTTACAGCTTCCTAGTACAACACGCAGTCTCACGCACAACAAAGATTCATATGTTTTTTTTTTTTTAATGTGATGTTATTTTTCCAGGTTCGTTTCAGTTAATTTTGCTATGAAAAATAATTTTTGCAGACACTTGAAACTCGGCTGATAACAGTGATCCCGTCTGCTTCGTCAGTTGCTTTAACATTGTGTGAGAATACATATAAACAACACAGAGTTTTTATACACGTATACAGCAATAACAGGCCAATGTTAGCACCTGACATTATTCTTGTACATTTTATCTTTTAAGTGGAAATATCTGATTTAAATGTCTGTTTCATTCTGGGCAAATGTTTTATAATGTCGGGCAGACGATGGACACCTGTGAGTCTGCATAAGGAAAGGAAAGCCCAGTTTGAGATGTCCTAAAATGGCCACCGTACAGGGAATAAACCCTTTATTTATTTAGGTATTAAGACCGTTCCTGGGGAGACACCCACAGGACAAACTGGACTTTTTTTTTTTGCCACACTGGCGGTCTAAATCTAGATCTAACAATAGAAGAGTCTGAATCTGATTTAAAAAACAAAACAAATCTGGTTTAATGAGCATTTCTGCTGCAAGCACCGCTACAGTCAATCACTTGCCTGAAACTGATCACACTAGAACACGTTTTCTAGTGATACAACTGAAGATGAAGACAGTCAAAAAGGCAAATCCAGAACGGAAACATAAACAGACCCGGCTTCACAAAGCAGCAGCAGGACTGTGCGACGGGGCTTCAGCAACCGTTACGCTCTCAGACAACCTCCTGGTCCTCCCAAACAGGATCCCCCGAGCTGCTGACAGAACCAGTTCGGTCTCGGCGAGGTGGAACCTGTGGCCTCTCAGACGCAGGACGAGGGCGGCGTTCACTCTGGTATGGACGGCGGCCAGTCCACATCCACAGACTGAGAGAGGGAACACAGACAGGCAGGCAAAAGGCTGTTGGACACTTTTGTATGCAGTTGTAAATTCATCTGTTCAAGAGCAGCAGAAGTAAAGATTTATTCAGATGTTCTTTCTAGTGTTTGTCATCTATAGCTGTGGTTCCCCACTAGGGGGCGCCAGAGCTTCAGGCCGTCTTGATTTTAGGCCTATATCTCAATTTTTGCTTCACTTCTGCGAAGAAACGTAAATTGTCTCATAGAACAATAGTCAAGCGTCAGGGAGAAGAAAACACTGAATTTGTCAAAAAAGAAGCATATTAAGTCTGTAGGATTGTTAAAAAATACAAAATACAGACAGAATTATATTAAAAGTTCTCTAAACAGGAAATAATCGCTCAATTCCTCCAATCACTTGTTTTGTGTTTTTAATGTTTACTAATGATAGAAAAGGGTGTCCTTTAGGAAATAATACGATTTAAATGTCTAACAGATGATCGGAATTTTATTTACTGATCTCACCTCCACATCCAGCTCCAGGATGTCCGTGTCCGTCTTCAGCAGCTTGCACAGGTTCGGTACGGTGCGACCAAAGTCTCCGTGCACAAACTCTTTGATGTAACTGTTGGCTGACGTTCAGGAGCACTTTGTGATCAAATGTTCAGTAAATCAGCTGCTGACAGGTTTCAGAAAGCCAAACTTAAAACCTTTAAACGCTGCTTAAATTCTGAATCTACAGCTTTTATAACTCTTAAAAGTGCTCTATGAATAAAGACTGTCAGTATCAGCGTATATGTCATCTGATATGCAGCAATATGAAATAATAATAAAATAGAAGTTTTGCAGAATTAGTATTAATGATTTTATAATAATTATATTTCCAAGCTGCAGGAACAACAGATGTGATGTGAGGATACGTCCCGGCCTGCGTCTTCAGCCCCAGGTAGAAGTGATGAGAGTCCAGGAAGCGGGTGTTCATACTGTGGATGACCCTCTGACGAACGGCCAGCGCCCGCCGGTGCAGCACCCTCAGAGGGGTCTTCTGGTCCAGAGTCAGATCCTGATGGGATTAAAACAACAGGCAGAGTTTACTTTAAGTTCTAATCTTTCACTACATGTAAATTCCTGATGTGTCGCAGTGACCTTGATGTCATCGATGAAGGTGATGTCGTCCCTCTGAATAGGTTTCTGGGTCCAGATGAGCGCCGTGTACGACTTGGTTTTCTCCTCCTCTCCCTCCTTCATCCGACTCATGGCGTCTCTGCGGTTTCACACAAACAGCAGCACAGTGCGTTTGTTTCCTCAACTGTCTTTTAATATGTATTACAGTTTATAGTTTAGTGTTATTTTACAGATTCATACGGTCTCACCTGGTGACGATCTGCAGGTCTCTCACTCTGATTTTGTCTGAAGACTTGTTAATGGTCTGAAAACGAAGAAAAAAAAACAAGGTTAGCTGCCGTGAAGAACATGTTAGGACAGACACATGTAGCGCGTGTGTAGCTTTAAACTACAACGGAGTATTAGGGCCATACTAAGTGGGGAAATTAAGAGAATAAAGCCGCAATATTACGACTTTATTCTCGTAATATTATGAGAATAAAGTCGTAATTTTACGAGAATAAAGTTGTAATATTATGAGAACTCTTACAAGAAAGAGCAGTCCTTAATCTTTTGGCACATCAGCATCAAATAATTCTCAGTATCAGGATTTTGAAACAATTGTGCAAACGACTGTGTCTATTTCGAAGAAAGAACCACACAGACTTGGAAGAAATTCCTTCTTTTGTACATTATTACGACTTTATTCTCGTAACATTACGACTTTTTTCTTGTAGTTTCCAAAATTGTATTTATTTATTTTCCCTCTTAGTATGGCCCTAATACTCCGTCGTTGTATTAAACAGAGAGAAAGATTAAGAGCTAAAATCAGCTTTACAAAATGTTTAATAGTCAGTCAGTCAAACACTAAAGCTCAGAGTTAAAGGTCCAGTGTGTAGGATGATCCTCTTAAATGTTACACACTGGACCTTTAAATGTCTCAAAAACAACCATGGAAATTGCAGTTGATGGTTCCTAGAGGATGATTGTAATATTTTTAATATGAATAAGTTTCCTATGATGCCACCATAAGGTCTAAACTTTCTCTGCTGCAGTTCAGTAAAGATCCCCTCCAGACATGTATGAAGACAAATAAATCTGCTCGGAACAAAAAAAAAAAAGTATAATTTCCATATTCAAATCCTTAAAAAAAGTAATCTACTCCTTCTGCCTAATTAAAATGTTCATTATCTGTGAATATGCAAATGTTCATTTCTAAGGTTTTCCTGCAGGACACAAGATGTCTCCTCCTTCACTGTAAAGTCCATTCTCAGTGTCTGTGCACTGGTGGATCACACTAAGTTGCATGCTGCTGAGATATTTTGCCCAGCATCAGCATTTTAAATTTAGCACATATATTAACTGAATTTACAGGGAAAAAAGCCAAATTTAGGTGCATCTCTACTACTGTTATGCAAACAGGAGTTGAAGTTGGAGTTCATCGTGAAGACGAAGGAGCATAGAGGTGAACCGAACCCACATGAGGCTCTACCAGGTGAGTTAGCCTGCACCCCAGTGGACGCTTCATGTACGTCATGATGAATACATTTATAGTTTCCACTCTTTTGTAAGTGTAAAAACCTTTTCCACTTCATGTTTTTCATGTGCAAATTGAAAATACACATAGACACAGCTACAGGTTCACTGAGTGAAGTGTTTTTTTGTGCATTCTGTGAGGTGAATGATTGGGGTTTGACCTCCTGCAGCTGCTTCATCTCCACTTTGCTCAGTCTGGATCTGTGAGGATTCAGCAGCTCCATCGCAAACGGACGACCTGCCAACCAAACCGGAACAGAAATGAATTCCTCACACATCAGGAGACAAAATCCTCTGCACGTGCAAAAAAAAAAAAAAGAAAATGTGCATCTCTCACCATTTCCAAGAGTCCGGACATCCACGTCCTCCCGGCCAGACGAGGAGAAATTAAAACCTGTAACAGAACAAGAAGGGATCATTTTATTGTTCGGTTCATCGCTGCTCTGAGACAGCTAGCCATGAAAGAGAGGACTCACTGTTGGCTCTGAAGGAAGACAGGAGCGGCGCTGCGATCAGCTCCTCCACCGAGGACTCCATCCTCCTCTCTCCATCGATCACCCAGGGAGTCTGAGGAAGGCTGCGACAGAACTTGTTGTACCTCCCTGGACAACAACAGGAAGAACATCAGGAGGAGAAACTGACCCAACTTTTGATTGTAAAAAGAGTTTTAGTGTCCTACGATACCTGCCACAAAGACGGACCCGTGGAGACACTGGATGTCCCGAGGCATGCAGCTGCTGCTCGGCTGCGCTGGCGGACAAGGGTAGTGTCTGAAATAAAACCAACAATAACAATAACCATCTCAAACAGCCGTTGTTTCTAGAAAGAAGAGAAGAACTGAGATATAAAAGCGATGCTTACTTTAGAAATTTGGCGTCGGATATCTTTTCCAGAGCTTTGACCACCGCCATCCTTGTGAACACCGACTGCAGAGAAACAAAGACACATTTATAGCTGTAATGCTCCCTCACACATTTTAATTGTCTATTGTTGTTTCTACTCAGTCACAGAGAGGTGTAAGAAAACCTAACACTCTGCTGCTTCCTCACCTGTTTGTTCTTGGTGGGTTTGAAGCAGTCGGGACACGTCGTCGCTCTGTGGGAAGGACAGAAAAGCATCATTTAACCATACGTACATTCAGCTTTAAAAAGGTCAGAGGTCAGCTCAGAGGCAACCCTTTAACCAACTGATCTGTACGTCAAACTCCACGGCAAACAGAAGAACAGGGTTAGGACTCACAGGAAGTGGCAGTCGGCGTCTGTCTCTGGGTGAGTGAACTCCACACCGACCTCGAACAAACTCTGAAAAACACGAAAAGGAAAGTCAGCACAGTGTGCGCACAGAGGAATTCAACTATTAAAGCTTCTTTCTTTGCCCTTGAGCGAGGCACTGACACCCCAACTCGCCCTCTCTGACAAAAAGCCTACCCTTGTAACCACGGCAACGCCCCCCAGCGCCCTGGCGACCAGGCCCTGCATGATCCACTTGAAGGCCTCCTTCACCTGGATGACGTCGTCCTTGTCGAGTGCGACGCTCTTCTCTCTGAGAGAGCAAACGGGAGTTACGGCAAGCTTCCACGTGACGGCAGACTGAACAAACAGTGACGAGTCAACACAGTTTCTTTACCTCAGTTCCTTCTTCACATGGAGCCAACAGGAGTGCTGCAGGGTTACATCAAAATACACATCAACAGACACAATAAAGTCCTACTAATGGGACAGAAAGAGGAACTCACTCAATACTGAGGCACGCAGTACAGAGTAAGAGAGAGGAAGCAGCACTGTCTAGAACTGGTTGACAATGTATATGTTAAATTTAACATGTTAAAAGAATATTTAACTTAAAGATATTGTAATAAAGTTATTTGTTTAAGACAGTAGTCTTATCGGTGTACAACCCACATAGGACAAACAAAACACTGGGCTCTGGGAACTCGTGATTTTACCGACCAAACCATTAATCACTTAATTGGAGGGACGATCGACGACAGCTAAACTAATCAGCCTTAACTATTACACAACATCACACACACACACACACACACACACACACACACAGAGAGAGAGAGAGACAGAGAGAGACTGACCTCTCGGACACACAGCTGAGCGGGCAGAGAGACAGACAGCACCAGGGTGTCGAACTCGTACTTTTCTGCCTTCACTGCCTCGGCTATCTGTGAACAAAGAACACCAAGATCATCTCAACCATGGACACAGTCTGACACTGCAGAGACAGTTCTGTGTGTGTGAAAGCAGTGGATATCTTACAGCACACACACACACACACACACACACACACACACACACACACACACACACACACCTTTACGGCCTGCGTGGGGCCACAGAGTTCCTGCAGGACCCCCAAACACACCACACACACACACGACTCCTCGTCCTTCTGTTTGACCACGGCAGCAGCGTCTTCCTCTGACGGAGCGCCAGTCGCACTGAGCTCCAGCTTCGCCCTTTTACTCGGTGGGTCTTCGGGCGGTTCTGACACTGCTGCATCATGGGATTTGTTGTTTCTATCTGTGGACTCGGCCCCTGCTGAATCTGGGGATTTGCTGTTCTCTGCACTGCTGATGAAATCTTGTAGTTCCTTGAGCGTATCCTGCGTGAGAGGAAAAGTAACTGGCATCGCGACGGGAAGAACAGCCACTTTAAAAGAAGGTGCCGACGTGTCCTCCAGGACGAGTCTTACCTGTTGGGGTTGTCGGTAGGCGGCCTGGACGCTCACGCAGCAGAACCTGAGGACGCAGCGAGCGCAGCAGCCGGCCGACAGCAGCTTCTGGACGATGGGTTTATCCTTCTCCTTCAGCGGCAGCATGACTCCAGACTGCAGGATGCTGGGACATTCATAGGGATTACTTCAGTAGCCAACTAGTGGCTGTTCAACTTTCTTCATAAATCACTTTTTTCAAGTAAACAAAAAGCAAACAGGGAAGGTTTTGCTGGTTCGATGGTTCCTAATGTGAAACAGGTCATATTATCTTTTAACATTTTACAGGTTAAACAACCAAACACTGATTACACAACAGTGTGACTGAATGTAAATCCAAGGTGGTGGTGATATTTATCATCGTGCATTTACTAGTAAACTATATCTGTGTGAATGTCTGTGTAGGAGTTAATTTAATGTCACTTTAATTGACTTTTTTTTTTTATTAAAGATGTTAAGTAACATGACTGCCAGTAATAATGAGTAAACTGTTCTCTGGAGGACAAACTGTGGCTCTTAGTGCATATCTTTGTTGTAACACACGTATGTTTCACTCTATAATCAGTATTTACATCACTTATATATTTTATTTCTTATCTTAACATTTGTGTTTTTGTTATTTTAATTTATTTTACTACCCTGACTGTTTTATATTTATATATATTTATATATTGTGCTGAAAGCGTTTACTGTCGTGCACTTTGCATTTAAAAGTGAAAACTGTATAAAACCAGAAACCAGGAGGCTGAAAACAACCGCAGAAGACTGTCTGTCTGCCTGTCTGTCTGTCTGCCTGCCTGTCTGTCTGCCGAGCTAACGTGGCGAACACCGGGCTGTTTCAGAGGACGTGAACACAGAAAGCACACCGAGCTGCTGCTGATCAGCGGGAACAAACCTACCGGACACAGAGGTGGTTCATTCACGGAGTTTTCTCCGGTAAACAAACCGGACAGGCTTCAGTCGGTCGTCCACATGTTCGTCACAATGACGCTTCTTCTTCTTCTTCTTCTTCTTTCTTCTTCCCGTGGTGTTTGAGCCGCAACAGACACAGCTAATCAACCCAGAGCAGCTTGTCTTCATCGAATGGGAGGAATTCGCCTTTAAAAGCAACAAAACAGAGACGACAGCGAATCGATATTTAATGACCGAGAAATTAATCTGGAATCTGGGCAAAAAAAAAGAGCTGATTTAAATTTCTGTCACATCGGTAATCGACCCGCAGCGTCTGGATGCGTTATGCGCAAGCGCAGGAGCGTGTGACAGCCGGGTCCTTCTTCTCCGCGCAGCCGCCGGTTGATCTCGAAGCTTCTGACCGGTACCGGGTGGAGACACCGTAATCTTAGTCCATCCGCAGCCGAATCAAGGTGTTCCAGCCCCGGGACGCATCGGTCCCGCTCTGAAGACTTCCCTTCACATTTCCCACCGATTATTAACGTCGCGATGCCCGAAGCGAAGGCGGCACCGAGAGCCTCAGCGGGCAGACACAATGGAGGGGCGTATGTGGACCGGGACAAACCGGCCCAGATCCGGTACAGTAACATCTCCGCTGCCAAAGGTAGTTAAAATATTTACCAACTGTTTGAAACATTAATATCTAACCGCCCCCCCCCCCTTTACTATCACTGAGCGGGGCGGGGTTCGTCATCTTTTGTCTGGTCCGAAATCTAATTCAATAAACTTCATATTTAACAGTTTTACTCCGTTTTAAGAAAAGTGCACGGTGGTAGAAACCCTAAGAGGGCTTTAATAACTCCCCAATAACCCCCTTTAATATTCGGCTCACATGAGTGCATCAGATACCACTCAACTCCACTAAAAATTCCACCTTAAATTAGGGGCTGCTTCCGTTAATGCGTCTCCCGGTGCAGCTTAAAGCAGCATGCGACAACCATTTGCTTAACTGTTAAACAGCCAGAGTTTGGTGCGTCTGCAGGATGCTCATGACTCAACAGAACCGCAGCATGAGCTCGCCCACTGGCCCAAAGTGCTGCATGCTGTAATACAAAGGACTGAGTACCAAACTAGATTTTAACAGCTCCTTTTTTTTTTTTTTTTTTTTTTGTGGATTATTTATGTGCTTTGTTCATTTTATTTTCCTGAAACATAAAAATGCAACATTTGCTGTAACGATTGGATCAATACCAACCTTTTAAAATAAAAAAAATGTGTTATTTATTGTCAGATTTATTATTTATCGCCACTAAATGTTGATTGTGTGACAGCTGTCGCAGATGCCGTCAGAACGAGCCTGGGCCCCAAAGGCATGGACAAGATGGTCAGTGAACACTTTTTGTCTATTAATGCTCATTTAATCGAGCTCTTAACGTCGTACGCATGTTTCTAAAGCGAGTTCCTGTTTGTTTTTCCTTCAGATCCAGGATGAGAAAGGTGACGTGACCATTACCAACGACGGCGCCACCATCCTGAAGCAGATGCAGGTTCTCCACCCTGCAGCCAAAATGGTACGTTCCACTTCGTGGTTCCGCTGCATCAGAAACATTAACGCAGCACATTTCTTCACAGTTTCATCCATTTCACCTCGATTGAAGTGTTTGTGTTTGTGTGTGTGTTTCAGCTGGTGGAACTATCCAAAGCCCAGGACATCGAGGCCGGTGACGGCACCACGTCTGTGGTTGTGATTGCCGGCGCTCTGCTGGAAGCCTGCTACAGGCTGCTGCAGAAAGGTAACGGTTGCAGGGGAACAGGAAACAGACACAAAATGAAAGGTTATGTGATCGTCGTTCACTTTTAGATGTCGAACTGGAGCGCCAACATCTCAGACCAAACAGTGGACGCTATGGCTGACCAGACTCCATCGACATAACCAGACGTTTTACCTGGGAGATGATCGTAAAACGCACTTCAAAAGCGGGACGGAGGCTAAATAATACTCGCGTTGTCAGTCTTCACTGTTCCAACAATCACCACCTTTTTGGTTTGGTCGAAGTACATTTTTAATTCATCAAGTTAGATGAGAAGAACGGGCTGTTAATGGATGTTATGTAATGTTAGTTAATCCTAATACGTCCACTAAAAGTAGCAGTGACACGCTCAGATTGTGTCTGTCAACATTAAGTAAACAATCCCTACAGAGATGGACACATTTATTTATTTATTTATTTGTTTATTTGTTTGTTCAGAAACAGCTGTAATATGGCTATCAGTAACTTTACCTTGTATATGTCCTAAAACTCAACAAAACCATCACCGACTGCAGTTTGGTTCAAAATAAATCCTTAATTCACTAACATAGAACGAAGAACTCTTCAGTTGTACGTCCGAGGGACTCGCACGCACACGTGACCGGACCAGATTTATGTAAATACTTATCTACTGAAGGTTTGACAGATTAAAGCAGATTGGTGGTGAATGAATTCTGTTTTTGGGACCATTAACACATTGAAAGGTGGAAATGTTGCCATATTGAAAATAAGGCTGTCAGGAGCAGATTTTTTTCAAATTCAGACTGTGACTCTTTCTATGTTTACTTTGTGGTAATTTATCACCATTTCTGGAAAAATATAAAACCTTTTCAGTGGGAAAGTTGAGGGAAACCTCAAAGGAGAGTTGTATGATGATGAATCGACTAATTAAATACAAACTCGTTGTCCCATCGATCAGGCATCCACCCCACCATCATCTCGGAGTCCTTCCAGAAGGCCGTGGAGAAGGGTGTGGAGGTGCTGACGGGCATGAGCCGGCCGGTGCAGCTGAGCGACCGCGAGACGCTGCTCAACAGCGCCACCACGTCTCTGTGCTCCAAGGTGGTGTCGCAGTACTCCAGCCTGCTGGCGCCCATGAGCGTGGACGCCGTCATGCGAGTCATCGACCCGGCCACCGCCACAGGCGTCGACCTGCACGACATCAAAATCATCAAGAAGCTCGGGTGAGTGCGAGTGCTCGAATCCAGCTGGTGCATTTCATTGACTTTCGAATGGATTTTAGATCCGTTCCTGCCTGCTTTTCAACTTCTGACCAGGTTTTCCCTCTCTGCGTCTCTTTTAGAGGGACCATTGATGACTGTGAGCTGGTGGAGGGCCTGGTGCTGACCCAGAGGGTCGCCAACAGCAGCGTGACCCGTGTGGAGAAGGCCAAGATTGGCCTCATCCAGTTCTGCCTGTCTCCTCCCAAAACTGACGTAAGTCACCGGACAAATATCAGCTCAGAGGAACGATTGTTGTATTTTGTGTTGGACTTTATATTGAAGGAAAAATATGTCTGAGATGTAATAAAATGTTTAATTTTATCTCAACTATTAAAAGCTTTTATTGGTGCATTTAACACCCTTTGCTGTTGTGGATTTATTAATGGAAAGCAAAACAAAACCCTTTCCCTGTCACTGTCCTTTCTCTCCTGACCTGTGTCTGTTGTTGGCGTGCAGATGGACAACCAGATCGTGGTGTCAGACTATGCTCAGATGGACCGCGTTCTGCGAGAGGAGCGCGCTTACATCCTCAACATGGTGAAACAGATAAAGAAGGCCGGCTGCAACGTGCTGCTCATCCAGAAGTCCATCCTCAGGTACACGAACACAGCTAACACAAGATAACAGACACTAACAGACTCTAGCAACTCTTAACAACCAACTGTTCCTGTTACAGAGACGCTCTGAGCGACCTCGCCCTGCACTTCCTCAACAAAATGAAGATCATGGTGGTAAAGGAGATCGAGAGAGAGGACATTGAGTTCATCTGCAAGGTGAGCGTCATCAAAATGTTGCACTAAACCTTCAGTACCTGAGAACCGGAGTATGTGTTTGGCTTGATAACAGCTTCTAAGTTATCCCATGAGGAAATAAAACTTAAGGAGCTGCATAGTTGATTCTTAACTATGAATGTAATTTACAAACAGTGCCTAAATCCTGCATATAAAAAGAATGTGAAAGAGTGTATGTGTAGATGTGTTTGAGTGATGGTATCCCCCTCCCCTCCAGACTATTGGAACAAAGCCCATCGCCCACATCGACCACTTCACTGCAGAGATGCTCGGCACAGCGGAGCTGGCGGAGGAGGTCAACCTGGATGGCTCTGGCAAGCTGGTTAAGGTACGAGTCTTGAACCAGAATAGAAAAAAACGTCTCCGGTGTGACGGGTTGAATGTCACTGTGGGCGTTACGCTTCCAGTAAACATTTTGTCGCTCTGCACAGATCACCGGCTGCAGCAGCCCCGGGAAGACGGTGTGCATCGTGGTTCGGGGCTCCAACAAGCTGGTGATTGAGGAGGCGGAGCGCTCCATCCACGATGCGCTGTGTGTCATCCGCTGCCTGGTCAAGAAGAGGTCGGTCATTCCCGCAGGGTTTATTTCACAAACATGTTCAGGAGTGCCAGTACAGGCACAGGTAACCTCCGACAAAGGCGCTCTTGCAGTGGTTCATCCTGCAGGGGCGTAACAAACGGAGGAACAGTACTATGGAAAGCTCACTGTTTATCACTCCTGGTTGTCTGAGCAACTTGGCTAGGGAGCATTCACACACAGATTGATTATCCCAGGAATACTGGGAAATTAATTTGACTATTTTTCAGAAGGTTGAAACATGTACAAGAACTCCACAACTAATCTGGGACACATTGTACTCACTAATTTCATTGTTAAGATATGGTAACACTGTGAATCTGAAAGTGTTGACTGGTTGAAAACGAGCAGTGAAAGAGTCAGACGGGTTGTAAACTCCCATTGCCTTAATAAACAAAATAAACTCAAAGAAAGGAAATGTTGTTGCACCTATTTTCCTCATAAAGCAGGAAAACAACTGTTTATCATTTAATGTTGCGATGTTCGCCATGATCCCAGGTTTTAGAAATTAGCTGACTTTACTTTGGGTACACAATGTGACTTGACATTATTATTATTATTATTATTATTATTATTATTATGTCATTTTTTTCTTATCACTTCTCTCCATCTTCTTTCTCCTCTTCGCCCCTCAGGGCTCTGATCGCCGGTGGCGGCGCTCCAGAGATCGAGCTGGCTGTGCGTCTGGCAGAGTACTCGCGCACTCTGGGCGGCATGGAGGCTTACTGCGTGCGGGCGTACAGCGACGCCCTGGAGGTGATCCCCTCGACGCTGGCAGAGAACGCCGGCCTGAACCCCATCTCCACTGTGACGGAGCTCCGCAACAAACACGCTCAGGGAGACAAGATGGCCGGCATAAACGTCCGCAAGGTCTGTCCTCCTCCTCCTGCTCCTCCTCCTCCTCCTGCTGCACTGTGTGACATTAAATAGTAATATATCGATGTCCCACCACACACTTTACCATCTTCTCATCTTGTCATTTATGTTTTCCTTTGCTGTATCCTGCTATTGAGACTGATGGTTGACTGGTGTACTGTGTCTGTGTGTGACAGGGAGGAATCTCCAACATCCTGGAGGAGCTGGTGGTGCAGCCGTTACTGGTTTCCATCAGCGCGCTGACCCTGGCCACAGAGACGGTCCGCAGCATCCTGAAGATCGACGATGTGGTGAGACTAAACATCCCAAACTGTGGTTTTAAATATGTATAGCTGTCTGTGTTTGTGTATTTCTTCGTGTCATTGCTGAATCTGAATGTACTCCATGTTGTTCTTGTTGCAGGTGAACACCCGATAAGAGATTTGAGTCAGTCCAGTGAGTTCTGTCCACTAAGCCTGCTCGTACTGCGAGGGATCAGAGGACTCTGTCGACGTCTGTCTGTGCAGATTCCCGCTGTAGTTGTTACGTTGCATAATTTAATAAACAAAAGGCTTGTTATTTTTTTTTGTTGACACTCCAGCTGTTGCCTGTGTGATTCTTTTGCTCCCTGTTTGATGCTCTTACTGCTGTTTCAGAAGATTATGTAAAAACAAATGAACACACATAGTATGGAAGAGGCTGATGGCATTACAGATCATTGTAATCATTGCATATAGCATATAGCAAACCGTTACATTCAAGAGTAAAATTAAGAAAATCTAAATTATTCTATTTTTTAAAAAACTGTTTAACCAGGAAAGCTTTATTTATATTAAAATATATTCTACAATACAGGGAAACAACATGACTGATGAATTCAGATTTTGAGGCAGAGTTTAACAAATTTGTTCACAAAATGTTATTCTTAAAAGCAGTCTCGGGTTTAAATCAAAGTCTGGCATTATCGATCTGAACAGATATAATTCAGCTTTTAAATCAACAAAATTTGGCAGCAACAGCTTGGATTGAATAAAAAGGATTAGAAGTGGGTGGGCTTTTCTTTTGCAACTATAAGAATTGTGTTACACAATAGATTTCCCAGTTTTTTCTTCAGTACAGTCCATAAGGTCAGATTTAAAGTCCTCAATTTGCTTCTGATCTAGATAAGATGGTGTTCCTTTTATTGATCCCTCATGGGGGAAATTCAAATTTGCCACAGCAGCACAAGGGAAAGAGTGGCGAAACAATAATATACAATAAAAATACATACAGTAAGTCTGTAACTACATGTTTCAAGGTATTGTGTACAAAAGAAAGTCGTGCTTTACAGGTTAATAGTAAATAGTTGCGAGGGACAACAAAGAAAATATTTCCTAATTTTAATATTAACTTTTTTTTATCCCAGTGTAACTAATTCACTTTATGGATATTTAAAGTTACCTTTTTTTAAAAATTTTATTTTTAACTTCTATCAAGCATCTTCCAGTAATACATCTAATTTATCAAATTATAATACTTTTAATTTGTAGGGAGCCTTCGCTTCGTCACTTCCTTCCCAACCAAGCTCTTCCGTTGCTAAGAAACCCACCTGCTCCCTGGATACAGACAGTTACCAGCACGCACGCGGACCTTTTGTTTTTTGTTTAAAAACCTCAAAAATAATATATTTTATTACATTAATTAATTTATTTTATTTTAATAAAAGAACTGGAGAGAAACAGTAGGAAGATATGGCGGATGCTCACCGGACAAACGTGCTGGTCACGTCGTGTTTAAAAACGCCGGTTGACCCGAACACCAAAGCCCCGTTAGCCTCGTACGAGAGGGAGAGAGTGCTTCCGTACTCGGCCACCAGTCACATGGACAACCGGGACTACGAGAAGGAGGTAAACAAAACAAAAATAATCACATTATTTATTGTTTTAAACACCTTTAAAAGTGAATAACTGCTGCTTTTACTGGGACAGATGATCCCTAATTAAATGTAAATAAAAGCCTTGGAAACTTAAAATATAAGTTTAAGGCAGCAGGTGAAGAAATATAGTTGTATAAATAAAATATAAATTGTACGTTTGAATTAATTTAATCAGTAATTTAAATATTTCCACAGTACTTAATGCTAGAGGACAATACGTGTTATTAAAACCATTATTAATTATTATGCCAGCTCTGCAGTCATAGAAGATTTGGGACAAAAGTTGATTTATCTTAATATATTAAAGGTAATTTAACTATGTTATCAACTATATTACAACCATCGACATATATAAGTTAATATATGTTGATGATTATAACCGGTGACTTTGCATCATAAAGATCCAGCTGCAATAATTAGTCGATTAATAGATTATTTACCAACTCATGTGATAATTCATCATTTTTTAGAATTAAAAATATCCAAATTCTCTGATTTCAGCTTCTTAAATGTGAATATTTTCTGGTTTCTTTGGTCCTTTATGACAATAAACTGAATATTGACAAAACAAGTCGTTATAAGGGCTTCACCTTGGTTCATTTGGGGAACTGTGATCAATATTTTCCTCTATTTCTATCATTTTATGGACCAAACAAACTAAAAGATAATTAAAATAACAGTTATTTTCAGCCCTACATAATAATGCTTTCAGATTTAAAGTGTTTCTTTCCTTCCCTTCCATACTACAAACATAATTTAATAGAGTTTTAATGTTTTATGATCATTTAATGAGTTTTAAAACAGACACACTTTGACCTGCTCTCGTCCAGTTCACAGGCCGCTGACAGTTTCAGGTCAGTCTGGTTGGTTGAAGGGATTTGACCTGTATAATTTGTTGGCCTGACTATTTTTGGACTTGCGTCTTTACTAGATTACCAGACGCCTTTATAATCCAAAACACTTTAATGATCTGTTGGACGACGACGACAACAACAACGACGACAACAACGCTGCCGTCCTGTCCTCTCGTTGCAGGAAGTTGTCTCATGTCAGTGACGTTGTTGACAGATGATGATGATCAAAATGACGTGTGCATCATCCATAGAGCCAGACATCTGATACAGGGTGTGTGTGTGTGTGTGTGTGTGTGTGTGTCAGTTGAGCTCTCTCGTGGTAAGCTGCCCTTTGTGCTCCAACCATATGGCCCCACGTCGCTGCTGCAGCAGGGGTAATAGGCTTAATGGTCCTGGAGGAGCCGCTGAGCAGGGCTGCTCTGCTCCAGGAGGCCTGGTGGTTAACAAAGAAACACAAAGTCCTGCAGCGTCAGGCTACATTTCAGATCATGTTATATGAATCCTCGGGTTATATACTGTTGTGTGTTTCCCACTGAGGTCCAACGTGTCCTCTGTTACAATAAGTTGCTTAAGATTTAGCCAGAAAATGAGCCCTCATCGGCAAATGAGCTTTTACGTGACTTCTGACCCTTTCAGCTGGAGTATGAGGACTCAGGCTCTGATTTCTGTGATGAGGACTGTCTGGGGAAGGGCGGTCCTTTCATGGTGACTGACTACAGAGCAGCAGGAGACCGCCTCGACCTGAGCGAGATCTTCTTCTCCAACGAGGAGTACTACAGCAAGCTGGAGGAGCTGAAGAAGGCCCACCTTCGCACCATGGCGGAGCTGGAGAGCATGTATCGGCGAAAGCTGCAGCTCAAGTCCATGGAGCCACTGGACATGGCGACGCTGGAGCCCAGACACAGGTGGGTCGGGGGGGGAGGGGCTTTGTTGTAAAGGGATTTAAAGTCTTTCTGTTATTCTCAGAGAGGTTTTATAAGCTGCAGTAAACAGATAAATACAAGAAAAAGAAATGTGAACCCTTGATTTGACTCCTTTTGGCCTGCAGGGGGTGCTACATTAACATTATATATATAAAACAGCTTAAAAGGGTCAGTTCACCACAAAGTTTCTACTGCACAAGATAATCATATTGTGGTCATTTTGACTGATACTTTGAGTGTACGATGGAGTATTAGGGCCATACTAAGAGGAAAAATAAATAAATAAAATATTGGAAATTACGAGAATAAAGTCGTAATATTACGAGAAAAAGAGTCATAATGTTACGAGAATAATGTAGTAATAATAATAATACAAGAAAAAAAGTTGTTTTAATGAGAAAAAAGCTTAGATAGAGTTATCAAGATCTTTATTCTCTTTATTCTCGTAATATTACAACTTTATTCTTGTAATTTCCACCCCAAAATTTTTTCTGTCAAATCCTCTCGTGTGATATGATTCACGATTATTTTTGCATCACAATTTTTTTTTTTTATTGAAAAAACTGAGCTAAAATCATAATCATGTGACATTTCTTGAGGTCTGTGGTGCTAAAGAAACACAAGATTTGTAGAGCAGGGCACCTCTGCAGCACTACAGTACTTCGTCATAACGATTGTCTCACATTTTACCTTTATCAAATACAAATACTTGGCCATATATTTAAATTAATTGTTTCTGATTCACTTGTTGTTGGTATTTAGCCATGTAGATGGTTTTGTTTTGTGTGCAGCCAATCCACTATAATGGAGGTAAACATTTAGTTTGTGCTGCTTTTAGGAACATTTAGGAGGATCTATTGGTAGAAATGGAAATATAATATTCATAGGTGTGTTTTTATTAGTTTATAATCACCTGAATATAAGAATTATTGTGTTTTTGTTACCTTAGACAGCTTTTATCTACAGAGGGAGCAGGTCTTCTTCATGTTGAACCACTATGTTTCTACAGTAGCCCAGAACAGACAAATCAAACACTGACTCTAGTTAGGGCCTTTGTTTTTTTGTTTTTGTTTGTGAGTTTCACAACCACCGTATTTCCCCTTCATCCTTGTAAGACCGCTAGTCTACTAAATCTGTCACACTGGTCCTTTTAAAGGATGTAAAATAGCATTAAAACTCAGAAATATAGTCTCAGTTACTTTATATAATCCATTAACTAGCTGTCAGTGGTTTTCTTAGGGACTGTTTCTAAAGCAGACTGTTGACAGTGAGGTCTGTGGATTATCCAACGTACTGATTAATCAATGAGTTGATTGACAGAAATTATTATTATTATCCTCAGTGAGAGGATTGGATGCTTTTATATTATTATTAATTAAATTAACTTGAATCAGTAACTTTGGGCTTTTAGAAATTGTGATGGGCATTTTTTACAATTCTACAGACAAAATAATGAATCGATTAATTGAAGACATAATTGAAAATGATCAGTAGATGCAACCCTGAGTGCAATTTAATTCAGTATGCTGCCTTTGAGGTAATTTATAATAAGCTTGTTAATTAAAAGAAGAATTTATTAAAGATAGCACCTTTTTTCCCCAATTTTTTTTCAGAATGAACAGTTTACTTTCTACAGTTGAGTGATGGTGAGTATTTCTTTATTTTTATGTGCTTTGTCATATTAACAGTACTTTATTTATGTATTTATATTTTTAGGCTAACATGGTCCAACAGCAGCCCAGCTGTTTTACGCCGTTTGAGGAAGTCACACTCTGCGGTTGAGCTCAGGAGAGCCTCGGGACAGTCCGACTCTTCAGACGAAGATGAAGCTACCAGTAACGACGTGGAGAAAGGCCTGCTTTTTTCTCCGAAAGAACACATCAAGAACATGTGGCAGGACTTTAAGCTGTCGCCTCATAATCGCCTGGTGTCGGCCTCGTCGCTGCACAGCCTGCCGGGAGACCAGAGGAGGCGAAAGGGGAAAGGAAAGAAGAGGCAGGGGCATAAAGATGGAGAGCAGGAGCATTGGAAACACAGAATGACCGTCCCGAAACCTTTCCAGATGATGCTGCGTGAGGCCGAGAGGCGAAAGCGTGGCATAAAGACGCGTTCAGAGATCGAACTGGAGAATGCGGAGCTGCGTCGGCAGCTGGAAGAACTGACTGAGTGCCAGAGGAAGTTCCGTGCCAGCCCCGTACCGGCTCATGTTCACCTCCCGCTCTTTGAAGAGCTGCAGGAGCGTAACGAGGAACGACAGCGAAGAATGAGACAGCGAGAAGATCAGCATCTCCGAACCGTCCAGAAGCCCTTCCACTTCCTGGAGAGGGAGCGACTGAAGAAGGAGCAGAAACAGCTGCGTCCCCCGCAACCGTCCGACCAGGAGAAAGTCAAACCCTTCAAGGCCAAGCCTGTGCCCAAGGCGGTGTACGTAGCAGCATCGGGGGAGCAGGTGAAGGAGGAGCAGCTGTATCGGTCCATCAAGATACAGATGAGGGCTCAGGAGCTGCTCCACAGTGCTTCAATGCCTCCCAGCATGCTCGCACGCCGACTCAGCGATCGCAAGAAGACCAAAGACGCTGCATCCGGAGGGGACCACTTCTCCCACAGGCCGCAAATTAACAAAGAGGTACCCGACTTCGACGCCAGTTACCGACGCTTCCAGAAGCACCTGGAGAAACAAAAAGAGGCGAGGCCCACGACTGCATGCGAGCCCTTCGAACTGAGGACGTCACAGATCCCTTCGCACCGTGAACGCATCCTGGCCGACATCGAGAAGGAGCAGAGCAGCCCTCGGATGCTGCGCTGGCCCCACATCAGCCCGGGGCCATCTCGGACAGCAAACTCAAGTCTCTGTTCGTCCCTCTCTGGCAGCCTGGAGCTCCTGCCTGCCAAAGTCACAGACGCCACCAAAAAGCGCCATGAGGCTGTGAGGTACCATTTCAGGACTCCAAACGCTTCTACCATTTTAGTTGAGATAGAGACGGCCTCAGAACTCCAGTGTCCCGTTTAGATATCAAGACCTCAGCTGTTACCTTCTGTGTTTAAACTCCCTGAATGCTTCATTAGTGGAACTCCTTTTCCCAACATCCCAGCAGCGTGCTTACAACCCCACACCCACTCCTAAACACCCCATGGCCGGTATCCTCAACTGTCTGCCCCCACCCTCCCGAAGTCCCCATCCCATCCAAACCTTCCTGCATCTGTGACCAGATTGTCTCCCTGAGTAGAAAGGCCCTGGAGCAGAGGAAGAGGGCCGAGGAGGAGGAGGAGCAGTGGAAGGAAAGGCAGAAGCAGAGGGAGAAGAAGCTGCAGAGGGTGGTGGTGAAACGAGCCCAGGCCAACGACCCCCACCTGGCTCTCTCACAGACGCACAAGACCAAACTCAAAGAATTCAGGTACCCTAAAAACAACGCGACTACGGCGCCACGGGCCGAGCTGCTGTTGAACGGAAAGGGGCGATCCGTAATTCTCTGTTGTTGTCTGCAGGAAACAGGAGCTTGAGCGCAGGAAGGAGTACCAGAAGGAGATCAAGGAGATGCAGCAGAGGGTGAAGGGGAGGCCACTGCTGCTGGAGCAGGTTGCACAGGTGAACATCAACCTGAACCCCGAGCCTCGACCACATCCCAACAAACTCAGTTTAATTACAGCAGATTGTGCATCTTTACAAACAGCCTCTGTACCAAAGCATTAATGCATTAGAACATTTAAACAGAGAGAACGACAGATTAATTGATTAGTAATTTAATAAAACAGAAAACCGAACCATTTGTATGTTATAGGTGAAATAATACCAATACCATACTTTATTTAAATAACTCCTTTCTTAACAGTGCAAGTGCTTTACACATAAAAAAAAAAATAATAAAGTCATAGAAACAACAAATACAAGGTGTAGACTGAACAGAGATGAGAGGACAATATATAACAATATAACTAGTTAAAGGTGCTGTAAGCAGTATTTTAGCATTAAATAGTTCTTCATTCTGGCAGCCAGCACTGATACTCAGGCGCAGCAGATGACGGAGGAGGGACGGGACTAACTAACTGCACAAATGGACAGGAAATTAGTCAAAATGCTGATTTTCACTTTAAAAACAGGAAATATAAAATGGTCAGAGGTGGTAAAAGTACACACATTCTTTCCTCAAGTAGAAGTACAGATATAATAACTCCAGTAAAAGTAGAAGTACGGATTACGGAGTATAAAAAGTAAAAAATAACAACCTCTTGAATCTGAAGGATGTTTCTGCCGGCAGTTTCTGTCCAAAGCTAACTGAAACCTCAAATAGGGTCGAGTCTCCCTCTCTTGTCTGTTTGGTCTTGTTACGTCTGTTATGCACCAGTCTTGATGTTGAGAAGGCCAGCAAAGTTAATATAATAATTCCCCTTAAAAGCCTGTTTTGAAAATCAAAAAGTACAGATATTTGTACTTTAAAAAGTAATCAGAAAAATATATAGTCAAGTAAATTACAGACACCTGAAAAAGCTCATTAAATACAGTAAAGAAGTATTTGTACTTCCCACCTCTGAAAATGGTATGTGAGCAACAAAATGATAAACAATTAAACATATTTAAAAATGTGTTTTTTTTTAAATCAGATAGACATTAAGATAATGAGGTAAATAAAAAAAGAAAAATTACCTTAAAACACAGTTTCTTTGGCTACTTTAGTTGTTGGGTAGATTTAAAAAAGGAGATACTATAACGCAACATATTCAGTTTTTTCCACCAACTTCATCTCCATTGTTAAACGTCAGGTTTGGGTGTCAGTCACTCGGGTTAGAGGGCTTCTCTCTCACCATTTACACTCACAAACGACACAGGGTGAAACCACAGAAGAGGCTCAGATACCAGTTTCTATGTCCAAATGTAGTGCAACCACAAGTTAAAGTTGGTTTTGAGTTAATGACTACATTACCTTTCAGCATTTCATTACATTAAGTGCAGGGAGTATGTGAGTGTGTTATTTTAGCTTTGATTACCACGCCATTGTTCCATTTACACTAACTTTCTGAACGTGTCTCGATAACAGAGGAATGCCAAGCACGCAGCAGAGAAGCGCTACACAAACGCCCTGCATGGATGTGATCTGACCGAAGAGTTTATCAGCAGCAAGGCGGCAAAATCGGGATCTGCACGCAAAGCCTCTCGGTCCAGTGACGGCAAACAGAGGTACACCAGTCAGACACTTTAAGCAAAGAAAAGTATGATAGAGATGAGACATCTGGGAAGATTACAGCTCAATAAGATGTCAAAACATAGGTTGAAAATTTAGTGTAAAGCCAGTAATGAAGTCACATGGCTTCCATGTTCACGCATAAAAAAGGGGGATTTAAGTCCTAAATTTAAATGTATTGATTTCTAGAAGCGAGAGCACAAATGTGATTTGGTAAATCAGACATGAATTAGGGGTGGGTCACTCACATATTTACTGGAATTCTTGTTAATTAATAGTAAATTATTCTATTTGTTGTACAGAGAGTTGTTTGTGTGCTGACAATGAGTAAGAGCGCAGCCATATTTAAGGCCTCACTGACCTGTCTCCTCTTCCCTGTGTGGCAGTGACGAAGAGGACCTAGACACGGGATCCGAACCCGTCAGCTACAGAAAGGTCTTCCTGGACGACGAAGACTCTGAAGTAGAGCCAGACCGAAGGGAAGGAGGGAGCGACGAGGCTTCATCGAACCACCGCGACGGAGACGACGCCAGCAGTCGCCACTCAGATCGGGATTATCGCGGAGAGGATCCCCACTGTTCAGATGAAAGTTACCACTACTCAGACGACCATGAGAACTACTCAGACGACAGCGAGCGCGATGCCGACACTAAACAGCAGGAAGCAGGGGAGTGACGGCATCGATACGTTGGAAAAACTCTGAAAAATTGAACATATCGAGTGAGGAGGAACCCTGAAGAGGGAGCTTCTTATTCTGAGAATGATTATTGTAAATACTCTTCACAGGAAAATGTTAATCTTTAACATAAGCTGATGAGTTTGGATGTGTCTGAAATCACTTACTCGTTCACTCACACTATTCCTACATAATGAAGTCCTTCCTTTACTCTACATCATTACTGACAGATGTCATTTTTTGTGTAATTGGGAATCTTTGAGGGTGACAGTAATTGCATGCCCCAAACTCATACTCCATACAGATTTTATACAGTATTTACTCCTTACTAATTGTAATAATAATATACTGTTTTATCTTAGTTAGTCTGGAATCACCCCTTCCAGTGTGAACACACCACATAGGCCTACTGTAAACCTGGTTGGAAGTACTGTGTAATGTGGATTTGCAGCACACTGACTGCAGGACTTTTATTATTTACAGCTGTGTAATAATTCTGTGACAAAAAAAAAAGTCTTCCATTAAAAAGACCTAATTTCAATGAGCTAACAACGCTTTGTGGACAGTTTCATCGAGACATCGATCTACATACAGACACGTCTTCTAGGTTTTCATTGTTTTGTTTTGTTTGTCCTGCAGGTGGCGCCAGAGGATGGGTCATGTTACTTAAATCAGGTTATCCTCTGTACAGTAGCCATGTTATGACGTGTCAGACTCAGTCCTTATTATACTTATCGCAGAGGTTTTTAAAGGGATTAATAAATGGTTGTTCTCATCATGGTGGTTAGAGTATTTATAATTATGGAGGTGAAAGCAGGAGTAGGAGTTGTTAGGAAGAAGAGGAGATAAAGGTAGATTTTAGTCTCCTGAGCTGATCCACATCCACAAATGGAAGATGTGGATTCTTTGGCTTTGACTTGAACACAACTCCACCTGAAACAACAGGAAAAACAACACAGCACAGTCAGGAAACACATTTTTCTACTGGGGTTTAACACAGTTTCTATAGGGCAGAGTATTGGTGCAGGGGCGGAGCGAACATATGTCCTAAAATATGTGTGTTTATTAAGCAGAATCCAAGTCCAGCTGTTGTCCGGGCTGAAAAACTCATCGTCCTGAGCCACAAGCACTCTCATGTAGGAGCAACAACAATAAAGATGAAATACTCTTAGCTGTAGTGGACAGCTGTCAGTCAGTTTCTGAGTGACGATATGTTTGTCACAGCTTTCCTTTTTAAAATTGGGGCCTCGTGGGGGCTCTAGTGCAGGGATCTGGGCTGAGGCAGGAGGTCAGTCGGGGGCACACAGGCAGGCGATATGCTGGAGGGAGACGAGTGCATTCGAGTCAAACACTGGAAAAAGAAAAGAAGACAGGAAGAAGGAATAAACCTACTTCTCTTTGATCTCTGCTGTGTACATATTGTATATATTGTGCTGTTTTAACTTGTATGTTTTACTTACAACTCGCCTCCTGTCGCTGCCTCTTCGGCCAGGTCGTCACTGTGATTGTAAATGAATGAAATGAAGTGTTGGCAGACAGGGGACTGTGGGGTTAGACAGGTGTACAGACCCATGGGTGAAAAGTTAAGACGGAGGTCAGGGTGTTGTATATACTTGGAGTCATTCACATAGTCTCTACTGTCGACTAATTGTTACCAAAGCATAAAGTAAACGTGTTAAAGTCATGTTTATATTCAGACAATTGAGAATTAACTACCCAGTAGTATGTTTGGTCTTTGCCGTGGACACAATACGCTCCTTTTTCTTGCCTTTAGGAAGGATTTTGTGGCATCCTGCAGTCAGGGGCGGATGTAGATGGGTTGAAAGTTTGGTGTCAAATACTTTCAAATTTAAACAATTATTTAGATTATTTTTTAAAATAACATGTTAACAACTGAAATCTACACATTTAATGATCTGTTATGGCTATATTTTAGATTAAGTGATCAAAAAAAGACTTGGAAGTAACAGTTTGAGTGAGTTCTATTACCACTTTTAGATATTTTTATTCACGGCTTTTTCCAAGAAAATATATAATAATATATTTCTGCCACCCCTTAAAGTCTCCATGCCAATATTTCTCTATATCCACTCCTGCTAACTTGTCTGTTCTGGGCTACTGTAGAAACATGGCGGTTCATTTTAAGGTAACAATAACACAATTATTGTTATTTTCAGGTGATTCTACACAAATGAAAACACACCTATGAATATTATATTAATGTTACACACCGGACCTTTAAGTTTCACTGGCAAGTCAAAGGTCTCCTCTATCTCTCCACTGTTCGGAAAACTTTGTACAAACATCCAGGTGTGTGTGTTTTCTCTCTTCTCCTCTTCCCCTTCCTCTCTCTCTCTCCCTCTTGTGTGTTTGATCTGAAGTGTTTGATGAATAGCCTCAGCTCCACTTCTGTATAGCCTCCACTTCCAGCCCTCCTGTAGCTAAAGTAGCATGTTTTTGTGTCAGTGAAGTGTGACTGTCTGACACACACACACACACACACACACACCCAAACTCAAATACATATTCGATCCCAAATGATGGACAGCAGTACACTCTCTCACACACTCACTCACAGTACTTCAGTTCTCCCGCTGCTCCCCTCTCACTCAGTCACTGCCAGAGAGGACGAGGCCTCCTCCTCTCCTCCACTTTTTTCCTTTCCCTCTCCAGAAACACTCTGGGGAACCGTCAACAGTGTTGAATTTCAAAGGGGCGAGGGGCTAATGCTCCTGGATGTAGCTGATTGAGTCAATTTGTCGACATGATGGACGTTTTGTGGCCTCGGCTCCTGCTCTCCTGCTGACTGCAGGCTACAGGGCTGACACTGGCTTTTCAGGTGTTTTTTTTTTTAAGGAGCGTACAAAGAAAAGAGAGAGACATGTCATTGCTTCAGTGAACGGCGGAGGGGGGGGAACCAACCTGCTGGACCAAAGCTTCAATTAACACGAATCTGAATGAGGTTTGTAATTGCCAAGCACATTTACAATTAATCCACCGGGAGAGTGTTTGGTGTTAATGTGAATCCAGATCATCAATTGTTTTAGACTAACAGAGAGCATGCAGCATAAAGGGATATAACACAAAATATATTTTCTCTTTCACTAGTGACGGTAACCACCCATTTGGTTTGGTTTTCTTGAATAACCACCAAGCACCATGCTCTAAACAGCAGCGCATTTAGTTGTATGTAGCAGCTCTTTCGAATGCATTCAATGTATGTAACCTATTTTTCTAAGTTTCACCTCTTAATAATTTTCACTGTTCTGTTGTTTTCCTCTCCTTTATCCAGTAGGACCTGTTTTTTGGCAACAGACAGGGATTGAACATGATCATTGAGCTTCAGTCTTTACTCTTCCTCAGCTTTGAAAACTGAACCCAAATAACTTTTCACTTAAAGCCAACAGTGGAAGACATATTGGGATCTTTTACTGAAGTAAAAGTAGCACAAAAGTGCTGCATTTATCTTTTTACTTAAGTACAAAAGTATTAGCAGCAAAGTGTACGTAAAGGTCCAGTTTGTAGGATTCAGAGGCATCAAGCAGTGCAGATTGCCTCTCCCTCAATTCACCCTTGGTTGCAAGTATGAAGGACAAACTACGGTGGCCACTAAACGCACAATTTTGTCTTGCTGAATCCCTTCTGAGTCATTTTCTTACATTTTTGAAGATAATAAAGTCTTCTAAGGATCAAACTTGGATCTCAATCTCAACTCAATTTCTTTTTCTTACTAACTTCCCAAAAAATATGATACAGATTTAAATATTCTATTCCTCTTCTTGCTGGGGAAAACCACTGTTCTAAGGTTTTTTAAGGTGATTATACACCAATGAACACATAAATATGAATATTATATATAATTTATATATATTATATTTGCCATTTCTGCCACTAAATGTTACACACTGGACCTTTAAAGTATCGAAAGTAAAAAGTACTCGTCAGCAGCAGTAACTGGGAATAAATCCTTTTTAAATGAATGTATTGGAGTTAAATGTATAATCTAAAACATTAAAAGTATAATCACTTCAAAATTATTGCACTACACAAATAAAGCACATAGTTACTTTCCACCTCTGCTCGACTATTTCAAACAATCGTGTGAAGATCCAGAAGAATAATGACTCAAGCTAATAACTGAATCTTATTGTGAATAAAATGTGAATTATCCAAGAAAAGGAGCTGCATACTAACTCATGAGCTGCTGTGTTTCACCACCAAACCCCCACAGAGCGATGTAAAGTCCTCTCAGCCAGATCGCAAACACCTGCTTCCTTCCGCCGTCTGTAAATAAACATATAATAATAGTAATATAATAAACAGGAAAAATCACAGTGAAGCAATCATCCTAATTATAATCTGCATGTGGACACACAGCAAGTCAAAGCAGGAGGAGCAGAACATTGTGCTCAAAGTCTAACTCCTACAACATTTGGATTTCCCACTGTACATGAATGCTCCTCTGGATGCGAGAATAGTTGAAAACCAAACACACACACACACACACACACACACACACACACACACACACACACACACACACACACACACACACACACACACACACACACACACACGCACACACACACACAAGGAAATGATAATAATAATTAGTGAAAAGTGATAGTCACATAATCTGATTTCCTCCAGCTGGAAAAACAGAAGTTGCTGCGGCTGCTTGTTCTCAGTCAACACCCGTTATCCTGCACCAAGGCCCTCTGAACAGCAGCGGATTGTGTGTGTGTGTGTGTGTGTGTGTGTGTGTGTGTGTGTGTGTGAAAGAGACAAGGGCATACAGGGGGCAAAGCACCTGCATAATGACTCTCACTATTCCCACCACTCAAACACACGCCATCTCCCTCCAAAACCTTCTTTAAAGCTTCAGATGTTTTCATTCCTCTCCATGTTTCATGTGTGAGACATCTGAGGAATGGGGAAACTGTGTGTGTGTGTGTGTGTGTGTGTGTGTGTGTGTGTGTGTGTGTGTGATGTATGGAAAAGTAAAGGAGGGATATGCAATGTGTCCTTTCATGTGCGTCAGCCACTGTACGTCTGTATTAAGCCATGTATCCTGTGGAGACCATTCAGCATCTATAGGGGAGGTCTGGGTATGGGAGTGGGGGGGAGGGGGATTCATTGTCAGGTCAGTAATTATCAGATTTACCGAGGCCTCATCAGGAGCAGGACACACATACACACACACACACACACACAC